TGGAAAACAGTTTGGCAATTCCTCAAATAGTTTAACCTAAAATTGCCATATAACCCAGCAATTCCATACCCTGGTATGTGCCCGTGAGAATTGAAAACGTGTAGCGTTGTTCATAATAAAAGTGAAGACAACCCACATGTCTATTAGCTGGTCAATGAATAAATGAAACATGATATGTCCATACAAGGGAAGATGTTTTGGCCATAATATGTGTTATAGCCTGGCAGAACCTTGAAAACATCATGCTAAGTAAAAGAAGCTGGTCACAAAATTGATGTATCCATTTATATAAAATATCTGGAATAGGCAAACCTATAAAGGTAGAAAGTAGATTAGTGGTTGCCGAGTGTTGGGGAGAAGGTAGAATGGGGAATGATTGCTAGTGAGTTTTTTGGGGGGTGATGAAAATGTTCTGGAGCCCTTCCACAAGGGCCTACATGCTGCCACTGCACTGCCGCCATGTCTCTACCACCCTTGAGAAGTCCTGCACATTTGGGGAGTGCTCAGCACCAACATGGGCAACAGAAGTGCCTTTGCCCCCATTGCTCTTAAGGATGTGGGGCAATAATCGGCTGGTGTGGGGTCCAGGGAATGAGATGTTGGCCTCACTAAGAGGGCAAGGGAGTTCATCGAGGACGAGGTGGAATTTGTGGTCACCATTATGCTGAATCTATGCCAGCGCAAGACTTCGGACTGACAGACGGAAGGCCATGAAGGGTGGAAAATGGAATCAGGTCCTAGCCAGCGGTCTGGTGAACAACTTCCATGAAAACCTGGAGCTACTGAAGATTTGGGCCCACAGGAGGTTGTGCCACTCTGGGGACTCTGCGACTAAGGCCGGCACACCGACTGCAGGACACGGGGCTGCGCTGTGGGTGTGTCCAAGAGGAAATAAATCTGTAGCTGTGGACTGTTGAATAGTTTTTGTACCTTAAAAAAAAAAGAGAAAGAGAGAATGTTCTGGAATTGGTTATGATAGTTGCACAATTTTGTTACTCTACAAAACTTTATAATTTAAGGAGTATGTTTTGTGATATGTAAATTATCTCTCAATAAAGCTGACATCTTCTTGGAAAGGATGACTGAGTTCTCTATTGTTAGAAGAGTGGCCACATATTGTCAACTGAGAAAAAGTAAGGCGCAGAACACTGACTGTGTGCTCTTATGTGGAAAAAAGAGTGTGTGTGTGTGTGTGTGTGTGCGCGCGCGCGCGCGCGTGCACTCACATTTCTTAGTATTTGCTTTAAAAACTCCAAAAAGTTACCAAGAAACTACTAAAAATGGTTACCTTTGGGAGTAGGGATAGGAGTGGGGCTTATCGAATGGGGTGGGATTTAGACTTTTAATTATTAATATTTTTATATGTTTTGATTTGTGAACTACCTGAATATTGCATAATCAAAAATAACAAAATTAGCAGCACTCCGTCTGCCCACTTGTGACTATGCAGGTGCCTCTTTTCACCAACTCTCTCCCCCTGCAGGGCAGCAGCCTTCCTGCCTGCCCGTGACCTGGCAGGCCGCCCACCCGCGACCATGCAGGCCTCTCTTAGCAAACCTGTCCCTTCTGGGGCAGCTCTTCCTGCCCGCAGTGTCTCTGCAAGTGTCTTTATCTGTTTTATCCCTTCCCTAATAAACCTGCCCTTTAAAAAAAAATAACAAAAGTAAAAAGTAAACATACTAAATGGGAAACTACAAAAATAAAAGGGCAGTTGCCATTTATTAATTGCAATTTGTTAATTCAGTTCTAGTGTTGCTAGGTCTGACCTTGTTGTGTACAAGAAGCCGGAAGTCTGTATTTACATGTGAGTATCTTTCAGTGTTGACAATTGTTTTTAAAGGTTGCACGGTGCAAGCCAAACGAAACCATGTTTGTGGGTGAGAGTTGGCTCAACCGTCCTCTAGTTTGTGACCTGTGTTTTAGACTGTGGACTTCATGAGAACAAGGATTTTGTTGTCTTCTGCTCTCCATCGTCCCTCTAGCAGTCATCAAAGTGCTTGGCACACATTAGATAGTGAATGAATATTAGAGGAAGAAGGGAGGGATTGAGGGATCCAGAGTGCAGGTAGCAACAAGTTGAATACATTTTGATGGCTTTTGTTTTCTCTAAGAAATTTGAAATGAGAGGAAGACAGAGAGAAAGCTGGCAGGCCAATAATTTGAGAGGGGTCGGAAATTTTGGAAACAGTTGCTGTAATAGTGTCTCTGAAACCTCAGTTTCCTCATCTTTACATATAGGTTACAAACTTGGCATAAGCAGTTGTGAAGATTAGAATAATGCATATTAAATACCAAGTGTGCATTTGGTGAATGCTTCAGTGGCACCTGTTTTTATTAGCCTCGGTCCTTCAAGCCTCTCGCCCTAAACCCCACACTGCTGCCACCCTTCAGGGGAGCTAAAGTGAGAACTGCTCAAGGATTGATTCTTTAATTCTCAAGGCATGGGCCAGCTCCCCAGTTTTTCCCAAACCCAGTGTACTAAAGAAAAGTTGAAGGGGAGACGCACCAAGGTCCTTTGGGCTGTGTTTTCACCTAGTCCGAGTGTCTGGTGACTGTTGGCAGTGGGTTACAGTAGAGCCGCCCACTTTGAGGAGGGCTCCTCCCTTTCCAGATTTTCTTGATCCTCTTGGTCCCTCATTTTGGGGCAGGGGGAGTTCCCTAGGCCTTGGTGTTTGCCTCTGTCTCCCTGGCCATCTCTCCCAATATCCTCTCCCTTGGGGAATGGATCCCATCACAAGGCTTCAGCTGTCCCCTGACCCTCAAATCTGCTTCCCGCCCTAACATCTCATCAGAGTCCTGGGCCTGACTCCTCCCATGTGAGTATCCGTAGCCCGAGGAGAGCCCCACTTGGTTGAGTCTAAGAAATAGTCATTTTACTTTCCATTCAGCTTCCCCTGCCTTGCTCCTAGTTTCTTTTAGGGGCATGATTGTTTTTGCTGGCCACCCAGGCTTGAAACCCCAGGGCCATCTTTAACCCTTCCTTCTCCAGCATAGATTCCATAAGTGTTGAAATCAGTGTAATCCAGTGAGTGGCTGAGCCTGCAGATTTCTCTGTCCTTTCCTAGTAGCGCCACCTTATTCAAGTGTGAATCACCTCTTGCCTGGATTACTGCAGCTGCCTGCTAATTCTGCCTCCCGCTGCTGTAAACTGGTCTTCTGAGAGTGTCGATTTCATCACATTATTTCTTGCCACAGAATTTTCAGTGACTTTCCACTTTCTGCAGGATAAAATTGAGATTCTTTGGCCTGGCTGGCATTCGGCTCCCCATAATCTGCTGCAGCTTGACCCACCCTGCCTTTGCTTCAGCAGTGCCCTTGCAGGACCCTCCCTCCAGGCAGCCAGGTGCCTTCATTGGCCTCAGAACAAGCTGTTCTCATTCCCCATGTAAGTTCATGCCTTACCTCCCCTACCCCTCAGTGCCTCTCTTCCTCCCTTTCTCCTAGCCCTGTCTCCTGCCCACTTTCAAGATGCAGCTCCAGTCCTTTTGCAGGGCTTCCAAGTCTTCAGCCTCTTTTGCTCTCCTCTTATTCTGAATTCTTTTTTTTTTTTTAAAGATTTATTTTATTTATGCATACAAGAGCTGGGGTGTAGGCCAGAGGTGTGGGGGAGGGGGGCGGGGGAGTGAGAGGATTCATCAGAAACCTAGTGGGGAACAGAACAAGTGGATCTACTGAAATATACCGCTAAGGGGAGCAGTGGGCAAGACAGGGGAGGTCTGTTGTGCCATATGGGTCACCTCCCTGGCCAGCCTGGGATCGAACTCATGCGGCAGTGGCTGGTGATAGCTTCATAGTGCTGAGACTTAACCCCTTGCGCCACCAGGGAGGCCCCTCTTTTTCTGAATTTTTTTTTTTAAGATTTATTTATTTACTTATTTATATATATAAGAGCTGGGGTACAGGCCAGAGATGCACTGGGTGAGAGGATTCACCAGAGACGAGTGGGGAACAGAACAGGCAGACTGAGTGAAACACACTCCTGAGGGGAGCAGCGGGCGAGACAGGAGAGGTCTGCTGCACCATGGGTTGCTACCTGGCTGACCGGGGATTGAACTCGTGCTGGAGAGGCTTTGGATTGCTTCATAGTGAGGTGCTTAACCCCTTGTGCCACCAGGGAGTCCCTGAATTTTTTTTAAAAAAGATTTATTTAAGCATACAAGAACTGGGGTACAGGCCAGAGGTGGAGGGGGTGAGAGGATTTACCCGAGACAGAATAGGGAGCAGAACAGGCAGACTAACTGAAATATACTGCTGAGGGGAGCTGCAAGAGAGACAGGAGAGGTCTGTACCATGTGGGTAGCTCCCTCACCAGCCGGAGATCCACTTGTGCTGCAGAGGCTGCGGACAGCTTCACAGTGCTGTGCTCAACCTCTTGTGCCACCAGGGAGGCCCTTTTTCTGACTTCTGATAGCATTGGGAAGAGAACCCAGGCAGGACCTGAGCTGTAACTGTCGCATTGTGTCCTCCCAGTGGACAGCGAGACCTGCTCAGTCTCCAGCACCCTGGCGAGAGCACAGATGGTGCCCATTTCAAATAGCTACTCCCGATTTAATTTAGTGCCCTCAGCCTGCAAGGCTCAGGATGACACTAGCTTAACAAAATGCTTCCTCAGTGTGACCTCCTTTCCTTCCTGCCCTGGGAGAGGGCTTTAGAACTCAGGACAGTTCTGAAAAGACTCTGGGGAGTGGCATACGAGAGAGGGGCCTCTGAGCCTGCCCAAAGCATTGCACCTCCATCAGCCTCTTGGGCTCCCTTCCCCAACAGGCCCAGGGTCCCCTGCAGCAGTGTTCTGAGCTCACCTCTGCTGTCTTGAGCAAAACACCTCCCCTTCCCTTCTCTGGATCCTTTGATTCACGTTGGAATCCCCCCTTCCACTGGCCGCCTGAAGTTAATGTGGCACCTGTTTTTACCTTTCATCTTATTCCCCTCCCTCCATGTCAGCTAATGATTATTCAGGGGACTTATCTGAACCTGTTGTCCCCGTCCCAAATCTGTGTAAGTTCTCTTAAGGGCAAGGGTCACGAGAGTGATGTCACGGTCATGTGACTGCTGCCTATAGTTCACTTCCTCTCCTGCTCTGGTCCTAACGTTCTGGAAAGCTGTGTACCCTGCCTCCAGCTCACCTGAACCGAGACCTGAGCAGAAAGGTAAGCCTCTGCTTCGGCCGAAGGCGGGCAGTGGCCCCGAGATCCCTCCCGCGCAGTGCTCCTGCCTTTTTCTTTCCCACCTGTTCCACTGACTGCTCGCTGGACACTCGCCCTTGCCTGGGTGTGTGCAGCGACAGTTGGGACGGAGCTGCAGAGCTGAGACCTTGCGCCTGTTACAGGACTGCAGTTCTTACTGGCTGCGTCCAGGTGGGGTTCGCAGACTGAGGCGGGACTAACCCCTGCTCTACTCACAGATCTGTGCCCATGGCTGACGCCGAACGCCTCCCCTCCCTTGACGGGAACCCGGTGGCTGCAGAAACCTTGCTCCGAGATGTGTTTGGGATTGTTGTGGATGAGGTCATTCGGAAAGGGACCTGCGCCTCTGAGAAGGTGGGTCCTTTCTCCCTCCTCGTGCCCATCGAGCCTGGCTGTCCCCTCTCTGCTCCTCCCCGGCATTCATCACTGTCTCGCTGTGTGCCTCGGGGTTATGGGCTGGCTCCTGCCGTGTTCATTTACCCTTCTCGTGTTGCTTTGAAAGTATTCCCAGTGTGGTGATTTCCGTGCAGGTTGGTGGGGCCTTGAGTCTGTTGAGATGTGAGCTGGGCAGCAGTCAGTGGGGTGTCTAAGCATCCCCAGGACACCCCACTTCTCCTAGGTCTGTGAGTGGAAGGAGCCGGAGGAGCTGAAGCAGCTGTTGGACTTGGAGCTGCGGAGCCAGGGGGAGTCGCAGGAGCAGATCCTGGAGCGCTGCCGCGCTGTGATCCACTACAGTGTGAAGACCTGTGCGTCCCGGCGTCTGGCGGGAGGACTGTGCTGGTTGTGGGCACAGCGTCACTCTGAGCTCCCTGCTCCCCTTTTCCAGGTCACCCTCGCTTCTTCAACCAGCTCTTCTCGGGGTTGGACCCCCATGCTCTGGCTGGGCGGATTGTCACCGAGAGCCTCAACACCAGCCAGTGAGCCATCCCCAGGCCCCCTCCCGCACCCCACAGAGGAGTGGGGTTTTTGGAAGAAGTCCTTTGGGGGTAGAGGAGGGAGATGGTCTTGCCCTCCTCTCCATTTTCTGAGACTCTCTGCTGGTAAAGTCTGTTCCTTTTACCCCTTGGGCCCCATCCTCACGTCTCCTGGCCCCATGTGGTCCTGACACTTGTTTCCCTCATTGTCTTTCACCAACTCTGCGCTCTCTTGGACCCTGCCCTGGCTCATTCTTGCCACCTCCTTTCTCTGACGCCTTTGAGAGTCTGCCCCGGCCCCCCTCCCTGACGTGCCCTCTCCCCATCCCTCTCTCGCTAGGTACACGTATGAAATCGCCCCCGTGTTTGTGCTCATGGAAGAAGAGGTGCTGAGGAAACTCCGGGCCCTGGTGGGCTGGAGCTCTGGAGATGGGGTCTTCTGCCCTGGTGTGTGAGATGGAGGGGCCTTGCCTTTGACCTTTTTAAGAATTTCGTCTCCTCCCACTATTCTCTCCATCTAAGCGGGCAGCGCCAAGCCAGTCTCCTGTGTCCTGGTGTTTGCCAAGCAGTCCAGGGCGTCATGCTCTTCCAGCATCCACTCTTGCTCTCACTGGGTGGGGCTGTCTGGGGCCCCGCAGGTGTGGAGGAGAGCAGTCAGGGGGATCTGCAAGGACCCTGGTGCTGTTCTGGATTATCATCATGCTATGTGTACCCTGGGAGCCAGTCGTTCCTGCTTTATCCAGTTCTGGGTGGGAGGTCAGGGGAGCAAGCTTCAGTTTTAACCCACTGTCCTGGCCTCTGGGCACCGCCCTCTCCCTTCTAGGTGGCTCCATCTCCAACATGTATGCCATGAACCTGGCTCGCTATCAGCGCTATCCGGATTGCAAGCAGAGAGGCCTCCGGGCACTGCCGCCGCTTGCCCTTTTCACATCACAGGAGGTGGGCAGAGGCACAGGCCTACTCTGGGCTCCCGATTCTAGTTTCCAGTTGGCCCCGCCCAAGACCCTTCAGGTCCTCTGCCTGCCTGGACCCATCTCCTCCAAGGCCAGCATACCCCCCAGACGGATATGCTTCCTTCCAACCAAGGGGGCTGAGTTAATGCTCCCCCTCCCCTTGACTTCTGTCTTGGGGAGAGACAGTGAGTGCAGTGCACACAGTCCACACCCTTTTGACTCAGTGTGGTCCATGGGCCAACAGCATCAGGAGCATTACTGGAAATGCAGGTGCTCAGGTTCCATTCCAGACCTACCGAATCTGAACTTTAACCAGATGCCCTGGTGATTTCTAGACACATGAACTTTTGAGTAGTCCTGGTCTCATCTATTGCAGTTCACCTTTGACTTTTACCAGGCCCTGTCCTCCCCACCCCCGCCTTCTCAGCCCTAGCCTGACCTGCCCTCTGCCTTCCTCTGCAGTGTCATTACTCCATCAAGAAGAGCGCCGCTTTTCTGGGACTTGGCACCGACAGTGTCCGAGTGGTCAAGGCAGATGAGAGGTGAAGGTCCTTCTGTTCATGTGGCTTTGAACCAGTTGGCACAGTGTACCTTCCTGTTACCAGAAGCTCTGGCCTCATATCCATGCCTCTAGTGGATTTCTCTCCCCTCTCTCTTGCTGCAGAATTGCCACTTCTGTCTCCCAGTGCCTGCTGGAGTCTCCCACCCCATCCCCTAAGATCCACTTACCCCCTCAGGGAAAAATCCACATATGGCCTCTGCATTGCTAGCCCCATATTACCCTGCCCAAACCATTCTGCCTCTGAGTTTAGAGAATTTGTTGCTTCTTCAATTTTCTTTTCCAGAGGGAAAATGATCCCTGAGGATCTGGAGAGGCAGATTAGCCTGGCTGAGGCTGAGGTGAGTCGAATGAGGGGTGCTGGGGTGGGAGAGGATGCCACCGTCCCCTTCTTGGAGGGTTTTTAGGGCTGTCCCTCAGCCCCCAACTTGACCTCCATGCCCATCTCCCCTGTGGGCTGCTGTGATCCCGGGGAAGCTGAGCGGTGGGGACACTGTGGTACTCTTCACGACTGCCCACACCCCCTCAGAGTTGGACCCCAGGAGGCAAGAGCCGGACTGAGTCACTCAATAGAGTACCAGGTGGCCCCATAGGGAGGAAGTTGGGCCCTGAAGCATGGTGTGGAAGGTGACCTGGGAGGGCTAAGAAGGAGAAGCTGAGGAGACGTGGCCAGTGGGAGATGGGGAGGCAGCAGCACTCCCCACCACACTGGGTGGTATGTGGGCCTGTCGCCACCTTGGAGGGGTGGGCATGTGGGCACTATTACTTTTTTTTTTTTTAAGATTTATTTATTTATGCATACAAGAACTGAGGCACAGGCCAGAGGTGCGGGGGTTGAGAGGATCCACCAGAGACAGAGTGGGGAACAGAACAGGCAGATTGACTGAGCCTACTGACTCAGCCCACTGCTGAGGGGAGCTGCGGGCGAGACAGGAGAGGTCTGCCTCACCATGTGGGTTGCTCCCTGGCCGGGGACTGAACTTGCGCTGCAGAGGCTGATGATAGCTTCACAGTGCTGTGCTTAACCCCTTGTGCCACCAGGGAGGCCCTGGACACTATTACTTTTAAATTAAAAATTTACCATTTTTAAATGTACCTGTCTACGGCGTCAGAGGCCCACTGCAGGGTTTACGCTATAAGTCACCATCATAAGCACATTGAATTTTGTGCATGAGAATGTTTACTGGAGCAAAGTATAAAATCACAATGAAAAATTTTAAATGTCCATCAGTAGATAAAATAAATGATAGTATCTCTGTGTGTTTCAGTTTCTTCCTTCATAAAACAAACCTAATATTGAACTTAACCACAAAGCATAGTTGGAAGGGTTAAGTGAACTAGAAAGCACTCAGAACAGTAAGGCACTCTATAAATATTTGTTGCATTTATTGTTGTTGTTGTTGGAGTGCTATGTAGCCATTTAAAAGAATGAGGTGAAAATATATATATTGACCGTATCTCCACTACATATTTAAGTATATCTGTGCACGCAGATATATGTATATCGTTATATGTTGCAAATGGCAACATAGAATGGACATGTTGAGCATGTTAATGAGAACAATGTGCAGTGTGGCTGTTACCTCTGAGTAACCATGTAGGCAGCAGCAGAATAGGACAGTTGTTTACTGTGTAGGATGGTAATAGCTTCATTGAGCTAGAACTCACCCATTTAAAGTGTACAGTTCAGTTATTTTTAACAGAGTTGTGCAACCATTGCTATAATCAATATTTGAACATTTTTATCACCCCAAAGAGAAACCATATGCACTTTACTACCAATCCCCAATTTGCTCCTATTTTCTAACTCGAGGCAACCACTAATTTGTGTCTTTATGGATTTCCCCATTCTGGATTTTTCGTGTAAATAGAATCTTATTATATTTGGTCTTTTTTTTTTATTTTTTTAAGATTTATTTTATTTTTATGCATACAAGAACTGGGGTACAGGCCTGAGGTGTGGGGAGGTGAGAGGATTCACAAGAGACAGAGTGGGGAATAGAACAGGCAGATTGAAATACACTGCTGAGGGGAGCAGCGGGCCAGACAGGAGAGGTCTGCTGCACCATGTGGGTAGCTCCCGAGCCAGGGATCAAACTTGTGCTGCAGTGGCTGTGGTTAGCTTCATAGGTTGTGTCTTAACCCCTTGTACCACCAGGGAGGCCCTATATTTGGTCTTTTGATGAACTCCTTTCACTTAGTTGAATGTCCTCAAGGTCCATCTATGTTCAAGCATGCTATAGCACTTCATTCTGAAATATATGGACATACCCATTTATTTATCCTTTCATCAGCTGATAGACATTTGGGTGGTTCCTACATGTTGCTTGTTATGAGTAATGTTTCTATAAACATATACAAGCTTTTGTGTGAACATAATGCTTTTGGTTGTTTTTGTTTGTTTGTTTCTCTTGGGTATATAGCTGAGAATACAGAGTTACTGTGTGATAAGGTAACTATATTTAACCTCTGAGGAACTGCCAGTTTTTCAAAGTGACTGCACTAGTTTCCAATGCCACCACCAGCAGTGTTTGAGGGTTCTAATTTCTCCAGTCCTTATCCAAACTCACTTCTCTTTTTGTTAAACCCATCGCAGTGGCTATGACTCGGTATCTTGTGGTTTGGATTTGCAGTTCCTTGATGACTGGCGAGGCTGAGCTGGGCCTGGGCTTACTGACCACTTGTATAGCTTCTCTGGAGAAATGTCTGTTCAGCAGATCCTTTGCTAAACTTTTAATTTTTTTTTTTATTACTGAGTTGTAGAAGTTCCTCATCTATCTTAGTGTAAGTTTCTTATCAGGTACTTGATTTGCAGAGCGCACCTTCCGTTCTGCAGGTGGTCATTTCATCTTGATGGCGCCCTTTGAAGCACATTTACATTTTGATGAGGTCCAATTTATGTGTTTTTTTCTTGTGCTTTTTGTATCATATCTAGGAAGACTTTGTCTAACCCAAGCTCATGAATGTTGACTCCTCTATTTTCCTTTTTTTTTTTTTTAAATAGAGGCATGTTTTATTTATTTATTTATTTGTTTGTTTGTTTATACATGCACTGGGTACAGTCAGAAGCGCGGGAGGGTGAGAGAATTCACCAGAGCCAGGGCAGGGAGCAGAGCAGGCAGAAGGACCGAAGTACACTGCTGAGGGGAGCAGCGGGCGGCAGGAGAGGTCTGCGCGCCCTGTGGGACCCTCCTCCGGTGGCCAGGGAGCAGCCGGGGATGGAACCGGCGCTGCAGAGGCTGCGGGCAGCTTCGCAACCCAGTGCTCAACCGCTGCGCCACCGGGGAAGCCCTTCCTTTTTTTTTTTAAGATTTTTTTTTTTATTTATGCATACAAGAGCTGGGGTACAGGCCAGAGGTGCAGGGAGGTAAGAGGATTCACCAGAGACAGAATAGGGAGCAGAACAGGCGGATCTACTGAAATACACTGCTGAGGGGAGCAGCGGGCAAGACAGGCAAGGTCTGCTGCGCCTGTGTGGGTCACCTCCCTGGCTGGGGATTGAACTCATGCTGCAGTGGCTGCCAATAGCTTCATAGTGCTGAGACTTAACCCCTTGCGCCACCAGGGAGGTCCCCAACTCCTCTATTTTCTTACAAGAGTTTTATAAAAACAAGTTTTTATAGTTTTAGCTTTTCCTTTTAGTTTATGATTCATTATGAATTTAAGTCTGATTATGATATATGAGAAAGGGGTGCAGCTTCAGTTTTTTCCATATAGATATCCAGTTGTCCCAGTCCCAATTGTTGAAAAGACTATTGTTTTTTTTTAATTTTATTTTTCTTGTATCATTGTTCATTTTTGTATAGTCCCCATAAATCTCCCACCACCACATCACTCCTGGACCCAGTTCTATCGCCTCTCTCCCCTCCTGTATGCCTTAGATCTATAGTTTGCCTACAAGCTTTGGAAAAGACTATTCTTTTCCCCAGTGAATTGTCTTGGCACCCTTGATGACATCAGTTGATTGCAAATGTGCAGACTTATTTCTGGATTCTAAATCTGATCCACATATCTGCATGTCTGTTCCATAGACCACATTGTCTTAATTACTGTAGCTTGGTAGTAAGTTTTGAAATCAGGAAATATGAATCCTCCAATTTTGTTGTCTTTTTCAAGATAGTTTGGCTATTCAGGGTCCTTTGAATTTCAGGATTAGTTTGTCAAATTTTGCAAAGAAGTCAGCTGGGACTTGGGTAGGGATTATGTTCAGTCTGTAAATCTGTGAACATGGAATATCCTTCCAATTTCTAGGTCTTCTTTTCAACAGTGCTTTCTAGTTTTTAGAGTATGCTTTTTTGCATATTTTATTAGCTTTATTTCTCTTATTTTACTTTTGGTGTTCTTGCAAATGAAACTTAATTTCATTTGTGAATTGTTCATTGCTAATATATAGAAATACAATTAAGTTTTGAATATTGATCTTGTACCCTGAAAACTTGTTAAGCCCATTTATTCTAATTTTTTAGTGAATTTCTGAAGGTTTTGAATATATGAAATCATGTTATCTGTAAATAGAGAGGTAGCTTTGTTTTTTTCCTTTTTGATCTGGATGCTTCTTACTAGATTTTCTCCCCTAAATGCCCTACCTTCATTGCCCTCAGTACACATAATCGAAGTGGTGATAGACACCCTTGTCTTGTTCCTGGGGGAAGGCATTCAGACTTTGACCAATAAGTATGACATCAGCTGTGGGGTTTTTTTTTTTTTTTTTTTTTTTTTTTTTTTTTTTTTAATAGAGGCATGTTTTTTATTTATTTATTTATTTGTTTGTTTGTTCGTTTTGTTTCGTTTACACATGCACTGGGCACAGTCAGAAGCGTGGGAGGGTGAGAGAATTCACCAGAGCCAGAGCGGGGAGCAGAACAGGCAGAAGGACCGAAGTACACTGCTGAGGGGAGCAGCGGGCGGCAGGAGAGGTCTGCGCGCCATGTGGGACCCTCCTCTGGTGGCCGGGGAGCAGCCGGGGATCGAACCGGTGCCGCAGAGGCTGCGGGCAGCTTCGCAACCCAGCGCTCAACCGCTGCGCCACCGGGGAGGCCCCAGCTGTGGGGTTTTGGGGTACATGTCTTTTATCAAACTGAAAGTATTTCCTGCCATTCTTAGTTCTGGTGGTTTGGGTTTTTTTTATCTTGAATGACTATTAGGTTTGTCATTTTTTCCTGTACGTGTGTAGTGTGATTTTGTCCTTTATTGATAAATAACATGCATAACTGATTTTTGCATATTAACCCAACATTGTACTTCCATGACAAATCCCACTTTGTCATGTTGTATGATTCTTTTTATTTGTTGCTGATTTCAGTGTGCTAGTGTTTCCTAGATATTTACGTCTGCATTCATAAGAGATAATCTCCGCTTTTCTTGTGACCTTTTGTCTGGTTTTGGTATCAGGGTAATACCAGCCTCACAAGGTGAATTTGGAAGTGTTCCCACTTTTTTTTTTTTTTTTTTTTTTTTTTTTTTTTTTTTTTTTTTAAGATTTATCTATTTATGCATACAAGAGCTGGGGTACAGGCGAGACATGCGGGAGGGTGAGAGGATTCACCAGAGACAGAGCGGGGAACAGAGCAGGCAGACTGACTGAAACACTGCTGAGGGGAGCAGCGGGTGAGACAGGAGAGGTCTGCTGTGCATGTGGGTTGCTCCCTGGCTGGCCGGGAATGGAACTCGTGCTGCAGAGGCTGCGCACTGCTTCACAGTGTGGTGCCAACCCCTTGTGCCACCAGGGAAGCCCTCTTTTCTCTTTTTTTTTGAAGTTTGTAAAGAACTGGTATTAATTCTTTTTGAAAGTTTGACTTAATCAGTGAAGCCATTTGAGTCAGGGCTCATCTCTGTGGATAGTTTTTTGAATACTAATTCAATTTCTGTGTAAACTTAAGTAGTATTAGAATTTTTTCTATAACTTTGTGTTATAACTGCAGTGACATGAGCTTACAACACTGTATATGAACCTGGGGGTTCACACATGTCTTCAGGTTATGTTACCATGCCACACCCACCACCAGAGCATCTATAATCCTCCACCACAGACCTTTGGACCCCATTCTCCCTTCTTTCCCCACCGCGCGCCCCAGTAGTCTCAATTCTGTAGTCATATTTCTAGGATTTGTTTTGGTTTAGTGTTGTCTGTTTCTTTGCCTTATTTATATTCACACATGCATGAAATCATCTTGTGTTTGTCTTTCTCCTGGTTTCTTTCACTCAGCATAATCCCCTCCAGTTCCATCCATGTTGTTGCAAACGTCAAGATTTCATCTTTCTTTTTTTTTTTTTTCAAATAGCTGAGTAGCATTCCAGTGTGTATAGCCCACATCTTCCCCACTCATCGGCCCTTGGTTGTTTCCTGTAACTGGCTATTGTGAATAGTACTGCAGTGAACATGGGGGTTCAATATACCCCTTCGAATTGGTGTTTTTGCCATCTTTGTGAATAAATACCGAGGGGTGGAATTGACAGCTCATATGGCATATGACATTTGACATTAAAATTTTTTGAAAGAGGTATGAGCTTTGGAAACAGACCTACGTTTGAGGAGCTTCAACTTGGGGGTAAGTTTCTTAATACCTCTGAATCCGTGTCCTCGCCTGCAGATGAAAGGGGTCAAGAAGGTAATATAAGGTTAAAAGGGCCCAGGACAGGCATATGAAGAGTTTAGAGCTGGGCCCCTGCGTCAAGCTTTTGATATGACTTCATAGCCTCTTTCTCGCTCTGCATTTTTGCCACAGGGTGCTGTGCCTTTCTTGGTCACTGCCACCTCTGGCACTACCGTGCTGGGCGCCTTTGATCCTCTGGATGCAATTGCTGATGTGTGCCAGCGTCATGGGCTGTGGCTGCACGTGGATGTGAGTGGGACTGGGCCTGAGGGTGGGGTGGGCTGAGCTGAGGTCAAGGCCTACATTGTTCCTTCTGCTCCACAGGCTGCCTGGGGTGGAAGCGTCCTGCTGTCGAAGACACATAGACATCTCCTGGCTGGGATCCAGAGGTGCCCTTTAAACCCTTGATCCAGAGAGGTTGTGGTCTAGGGCTTTTCATCTGGGAGTTGAGGAAGGAGATTGGCTGCAGGGGATTGGAGAGATGATTGATTAGGGTTGGGAGGTCAGAATTCAGACTTGGGAATTCTTCCTGACTGCTGGGGTGGGATGAGACTATAGACCTTTTACCCTAGATCTATAAAGGGTGGGGATGGCCTCTGGTTGGGCATCTTGAGGAGGGACCAGCTGACCCAGCTTTGCTATGCCATACCACAGGGCAGATTCTGTGGCCTGGAATCCCCACAAGCTCCTCACAGCAGGCCTGCAGTGCTCAGCTCTTCTTCTTCGGGATACCTCGGTGTGTCTGCCCCTGCCTGTGATGCCGTTCACCCTAGCTCTGTCAGTTCTTCTGTCCCAGCTAGAGGGGGTCCTGCCTTTCCCATGTTTTCCTTACCATCCCGTCTGAAGCTGAATATGTGCGATCACCCTAAACCATTGTCTTGGGCTCCCTTACTTACCCCAATGACCTATCTTTAGGCAAAGGAAAATTTTTAACTTGAAGTCATAATCGAAGTTTGGGAAGAACTTGGTGTTGGGAGAAAATCCAGGGAAAAGGGCTAAGTCAGCTGGCAGCCATCCCGTCAGCGCTGCCTGATTCCAGGGAAAGAAATAGGCAGACCTAGCTGAGAAATCCCTAACTAGCCCCAGTGAAAACATCAGTGGAGAATTTGGGGTCCCACAGTCTCCCCACTCTCCACAGAACCTGCTCAAGCACTGCCATGGGTCCCAGGCCAGCTACCTCTTCCAGCAAGACAAGTTCTATGATGTGGCTCTAGACACGGGAGACAAGGTGGTACAGTGTGGCCGACGTGTGGACTGTCTGAAGCTGTGGCTCATGTGGAAAGCACAGGGCGGGCAAGGGCTGGAGCAGCGTGTGGACCAGGCCTTTGCCCTTGCCCGGTAGGAGTGGGAGATGCTGCCAGTTTTCCTTCCTCACCCCTTTCCTTCTCTCATTACCTCTCTGGCTCTTCTGTTTCTCTGTCTCTGCCTTTCCTCCCCGTGAGTGCTCATCCTCTGTTGGCAGGTACCTGGTGGAGGAGGTGAAGAAGAGGGAAGGATTTGAGCTGGTCATGGAGGTAGGAGGAACCCCAGGCTCTTTTGCATCCCCCGCCCCGGGCAGTGAGACCATTCCCTTCCTCAGCTCATACATCCCTCCTTCCTCCCAGCCTGAATTTGTCAATGTTTGCTTCTGGTTTGTGCCTCCCAGCCTGCGAGGGAAACAGGACAGTCCAGATTACAGTGAGAGGCTGGCTAAGGTAGGCTTTCTGTTCTCGGTGCTGGTTAACCCTAAGTTTAGGGAAGCGATGCAACTGCTGTGGTTCTGCCCCCTGCGGGCCTTGACTGGTATGGCACGTCCCTCTGCTTGTCTCTTGTTCCGGAGGTGCTGTGGACTTGCAGAAGATAACACCAACCTGTTTTCATTTTATGGGAGTGGGGACGGGGGAATAAGGTATGTTTCTGGAAAGTAAGAGGACAGAGGCGCTTTACAGGATAAGTCACATAGATCCCTGGCTGGAAGTTCTGCTGGGAGCCCAGGCCCAGGATAGATTTATGAGGCACTAAAGCTTTCCTGATGGGGACAGAACATTTGAGTAAGGCCTGCCCACATGTGCCTCCTAGAGGTGAGGAGATACCCCATCGTGGCTCCTAAAGTGACTGGCACTGCAGGTGATCCAAAACAACAAAGATACTCTTGCCCTTAGGGAGTTACTATTTTTGAAAAGTATAGTTATCTATTTCAAACCAAAGTCTCCAAGGCAATCTTATAAATTACATGTTGGATCACAGGGTAAAAGACATGACAAGAATTAAGACAGTGAACAAGAAGATGTTAAAGATGACCAAGGCTTGGGCTTCCCCAGTGGCACAGCGGGTTGAACACAGTGCTGTGAGCTGTCTGCAGCCTCTGCAGCGTGAGTTCGATTCCCGGCCAGCTGGGGAGCTACCCACATGGTGTGGCAGACCTCTCCTGTCTCGCCCGCTGCTCCCCTCAGCAGAGTATTTCAGTCTATCTGCCTGTTCTGTTTCCTGCTCTGTCTCTGGTGAATACTCTCACCCACCCGCACATCTGGCCTGTACCCCGGTTCTTATATGCATAAATAAATAAATCTTTAAAAAAAACCTGTTTAAAAAAAAAAAAAAAAAAGATGACCAAAGCTTGAAGTACAGCTAAAGCAGTGTCAGGAATCAGGAAAAGTCAGGATTTGGCAGCAAATGGCCCCAGGTGGCAACTTGGAGATATCTGCTCCTGGAAGGAGACTGTGAGTGTATGCGGGGTGGAAGTGAGGAGGGTGGGCAAAAGCTGCATCTCAAGGGCAACACCCACCCCCTGTCCGGACCCCAGGCTGCAGCAGGAAGCTCTCCCCCCTCCACAGGTGGCCCCAATTCTCAAGGAGCGCATGGTGAAGAAGGGCTCCATGATGATTGGCTACCAGCCCCATGGCGCCCGGGGCAACTTTTTCCGAGTGGTGGTGGCCAACCCTGCCCAAACCCAGGCCGACTTGGATTTCCTCCTCAACGAGCTGGAGCGGCTAGGCCAGGACCTCTGAGCCCCTCCTTCTCCCTGCTGGTCCTGACAGTCTCCTGCCCTGTGTTCGCCAGACCAAACTTTTCAGGAAACAAAGTGACCTTCGTAATGTTTTTTTATGCTTTGATCTACTAACTCTCCTAACAAATATTCGATTTTAGGAAAATGTTTAAATATACTGTATCCATATGATGGAATGTTATTCTGCCATCAAAATTATGTTTACAAAGAGGATTTTTATTAACAGGAGAAAAATAATTTTAATAGCCTGTTGAAAAAGCTAGATATAAAACTATATAGAGTATAGTTATTTGAATACAGCTGACCTGTATTCAGAAATACACGGGAAAAGGCAGAGGACCTGAAATATGCCAAAATGTTAATAGTGTTCCCTGGGATAGGATGGTGGGCAGCTTTAACATTGACTTCTTAATGCCCTTTGTGCGTCCCTCTTTTGTTATACAATGGATTTTCATTGATTTTATAATAGCAAAATAATAAAGTTAAGTGTTCGACTCTATGTTTGGTTGTGTGAAAGCTTTTTACCTTTCAGTCTAGTTCGTGCTGGTGACAGAACTTAGGGGCATGGGTCGGCCTTGGTAAAACTGCCAGACAAGGGAAACCCGTGGGAGGTTTGGTTGCACTTGTGTGGTAGTTAAGGACGAGGGAAAGAGTGTGCAGTGAAGCATGTCGTGGAGGAGTACTTCATGTGCGAGAAGTAAACAACAGCGGGCCTCCCTGGTGGCACAAGAGGTTAAGTCTCAGCACTACGAAGCTCTCCACAGCCGCTGGGGCATGAGTTTCATCCCCAGCCAGGGAGCAATCCACACAGCGCGGCAGACCCCTCCTGACTCGCCCACTGCTCCCCTCAGCAGTGTTTCAGTCAGCCCGCCTGTTCCGTTCCCCACTCTGTCTTTGGTGAATCCTCTCACCCCTCCATACCTCTGGCCTGTACCCCAGTTCTTGTATGCATAAATAAATAAATCTTGAAAAGATAAAAATAAAATTAGACTTTGTGGCTCACAAAGTCTAAGGATTCCTCGTGGGTCTATTGAAGGAAAGAAGGCCTGCTGTGAGCCCTCTCAAAATGTGCTAGAAGTTTCTGGGAGCAGGAGGATTGACAGGGCATGGAAACCTGAGCTGAAGAAGTCAGGTTGGAAGAAGGTGAGGCCTGGTTTGGGGGAGAAGTGGGCGGCATACAAAGGGTAAGGCAGAATGTCACCCAAGGCCCTCAGTCCCTCCTGCCACAATGTCTTGCTTCTGCTGACACAACTCTTCAATAGTGTCATTCAAAAGTGGGCCTTCGACAAATAGATGAATGAATGACGAATGAATAAAAAGAAACATAGAGTTTATTATTGTATTGAAAGAAAGAATCAAACCATACTTAGACCTTGATGGCCCCAGTTTCTCTAAGTCACCCTGCATTTACCAACTCTGTAAGGTCCTTCAAGTCTCCCTCAGTCTGGGCAGCCATGGAGTGGGAGGGAGGCCTGTGCCCAATCCATGGGGACCAGAGCACCATTCTGAGCCTGTGCTCTGCTGTCCGCAGGTCCACAGATCTCAGTTCCCGGAGTTCCCTGGTGGGATTATGCATGGCAGGCCCTCTCAACTCAGAGCTAAGTCTGAGAGTGCAGACACAGGAGCCCCAGTTCCAGGCTTTGCAGGCAGAGAAGAACTTGGCGCTGTCGTCTGGGTGGTGAAGGTGTACTGGCCTCTAGGTGTGGCAGGACCAAGATCGAGGTGTCACCAGCCCCCAGAAAGTTGCCTGTGCCAGAGATAGAGGAACCTGTAAATGAGGTCCCTCTGGTGCCACCCTGTGCATCCAAGACATGGGAGCCCACCAAATCCAAACCAGGCCCTGTCCCTGATCATGGCTGTTGAATCAGGCAATGATAGGGGGTTGGCTATTGGGACAGGAAGTATGGATGGGGAGCTCAGAGACAATGGTCATCCCTTACCTGGGGCAAGGGACAGTGCCGCCGTGCATACCACTCCTGACAGTACAGGCTGACCTGGATGCCCTGGCCCAGAAAGAGCAGGGTCCACATCAGCACGTTCCATGCGGGGCCTGTGTGCCGGTCATGCATCATGAAGTTCAGCAGCCCTGGTGTGGAGGGAAGATTGTTACTCAGCTCCAGGCACCTGTGCCTCGCCTTGCCGACTGCCCTCCCACCCCAGAGCACTGGGAAGAGATGGAACAGAAAGGCCTTCCTGGGGGTGATCTTGAGCCCTGTTCCCGAAACCCGTGGATGTCTCAAGTGGCTCGTGTGAAACCAGGATTCCTGAGTTTACACTTCAGTATCCTGAATCTCATACCAAACCTCCCTCCCTCAGGCCAGTTTTCTCCCCGTTCGTCTCTCTCTAAGCGCAGATGCCATTCTGCCGTTAGAACTCTCCCACACCGCCCCCTCCCATACCCTTTCGTGGTCTCCCTCCTTGCTCCCAAGTTCTTCCTCACCCCAACTCTCATGCCTCTCACACCCCCTTCTGTCTCGGGTACCTGGCCTTCCCCACCAGTCTGTGATCTCCAAGAGCAAGACTCCAGGCCTGCTCCCTCTTGATGGCTCCCTCCGAGTGGCACACAGGCCAAACCTACCTCCAATGACGAGGAAGAGTATCAGCATGACGGGGTAGAAGAATCCCAAGACGAAGCAAAAGATGTACTCATGGACCACCGCGGAGACCAGGAACACGCCCAGCATGGCTGCCCCTCGGGCTCGGCCACCAAGGAGCTGGTGAGGGGAGGGCAAGAGGCGGACTGAGTCTCCCTAGGACTCCTCTCCCCGGGCTTCTCCCTAGGGCTTCCAGCCAGGAGGGGGTGTGGTACAATAGAAAGAAGATGGGATTGGGGGCCCCAAGGACTGACAGTCTTATTTCAGAGTATTTTATTAGCCCCTTGGACCTTAGATGCAATTTTAGAAAGGAAATATACTACCACTTGCTCTTAGGGCTAATAAGCTGATTAAATGCATGTGACATTCTTATTCAACTGAAAATTGCTCTATGCATGTTTCTTAGAAGCCTAAAGAGGGAAGAAATGTCTGAGGCAGGGGGTGGAATTAAGGCTAAGGAGAGAAGGAAGTTAGAACACAAGGATTTTCTGTCCGTTGTGTTGGGTGGAATGGAAGGAGATGGAAGACAGGAGGGCCCTGGGGTCGGGAAAAGGTGGATGCTGCAGAGGGAGGAAGGGAGAGGATGGCCCAGGGAGGCTCCGCCAGCTGTGGCCCAGGTTGCTGAGGGGTCCGCGGATCCGTACCCACAGCCCATCCTGATACACGTAGCTGTACAGCCAGTCGTGGACCACCACGTTCCAAGTGCGGTAGTAGTTGGAGAAGGATGTGGAATTCCACCAGTCCTGGGGGAGGGGCGGGCGGGTGGGGGAGGGATGTGAGCATGGGGCCCTGTCTTTTCCCAGGCCTCAGCTTCTCACCCCTACTCCCAGCACCTGTCTCAGTGTCTCCCCCAACATGGGCTGGCCCCTGGTCAGACAGAGACAGAAGGCACTTTCCCAGCTCCCTCTTCAGGACGCTCCCTCCTCCTCCTCCTCTCAGCACTGGAAGATTCCAAGGTAGGGGCATGAAAAGCTGTCACCCTGCTGGTCAGGAGGTGGAGGGGCAGCAACACATAACCACACCAGAGAAGCTGTGTCCTTGTGGGAGATGGACAGACCACTGAGGTGACGCCCAACATGGCTCCCGTCCCTCCCACACACCCCTTCCCAGCCTTCCCCGCGTCCAGCTCCCAAGCTAAATCGCTCGCTGTCTCTACAGAAAGTGCAAAGTGTTCTAGATCCCACCTGCCCGGAGTAAGGAAAGACCCAGGTCCAGAACCCACCCTGTAGAACATCCTGTCTCCAAAGCGGAGCATCTCTGCGAAGGCGTTGAGCCAGCAGTGCAGGAAGGCAAAGAAGATGAGCAACAGCATGAAGATGCCTGGCAAGTGGGGACACAGGACTGCAGGTCAGACTGGTCCACAGGGCCCCCTCCACCCCCCAGCAACCAGGGGACCTCAATCCCTACCCCTCATTTATTAGTCATTCACTAATTCATGCATTCATTAATTCACCCATTTGCTCATGAACTCCATGCCAGATGTTGGGGACACGGAGATGAATCTCAGAGTCCCTGGTCATGGGGAGTTCACAGAGTGATGGGAGAGAGAAAGAGAGAAACAGAGGCAGAGATCAAGACAGAGACAGCAGGCACCGAGGCCAGATGTGTTGGGAGTTAGGCACGGTGGCCACTGATGAGCTCGGGAGTGCAAAGCAAGGAGTGGGTGATGGTGATCAATGGCTAAAAAGGGAAAGCTTGGGGCCTCCCTGGTGGCTCAAGGGGTTAAGACGCAGCCTGTGAAGCTGTCCACAGCCTCTGCAGCACGAGTTCTATCCCTGGCCTGCCAGGGAGCAACCCACATGGCGCAGCAGACCTCTCCTGACTCGCCTGCTGCTCCCCTCAGCAGTGTACTTCCGTCCATCTGCCTGTTCTGTTCCCTGCTCTGTCTCTGGTGAATCCTCTCACCCCCCATCACCGCTGGCCTGTACCCCAGCTCTTGTATGCATAAATAAATAAATCTTTAAAAAAATAAAATAAAATAAAAAGGGAAAACTTCATGGAGGAGGGGACATCTCAGTCATAGACCTCCAAGAAGAAATGGAGTCCACAGCAAAAGGGCATTCCAGGCTGAGGGGCCAGCCCGAGGACATGGGCGTATGTGGCTTTCAGGGAATGCCTGGCTTTTGCTGGGGTGTGAAGACAGCCAGGGCTGTATGGGAAGGAACCTTGGAAGTGAGGGCAAAATTGAGAATCTTATCTGGAGATGCTGCAGTGGTGAACCACTGGAGATTTTGAAGCAGAGTAAGGAATGATGGATCTGTAGGAGAGAAGTTCATCTCGGCAATAATGCCCAGGGCAGCTGGGGAAGGAAGGATCTGGGTGATAGGTGACGAGGCTGGGTAGAGAGGGGAAGGGGCCATCTGAACTGAAATCCTGACGATGAGCGACAGCTGGAAGAGGAAGCAGACGTGAGGGAAGAGGCAGCAGGAGAAGGTGCTGAGACTGACCGCAGGTGAGCCGTTAGGGAAGGGAGGAGTTCCTGATAATGCCACCCCCCGCCACCCAGCGAAGCCTTCTCCAGCCCCACCTGGCAAGGTGGCATGCATGATGGAGAGCACCAGGGCCCGGGTGCTGAAGGGCTCCCGGCTCATGTTGGCAAAGACAGGCACACAGAGGCGGCCCAGGATGAAACAGGCATAGAGGACGCAGCCCAAGGCCTGGAGAGGGATGCGGACACGTCACTTCAGGAGAGGCCCTGGCAACTGCCCCTCACTCTGGGATCACACTCAGGCCCAGCTCCTGCCTCTCTCCCTTAGGGCCACCCGCTGACCTCCTCCCCATGCGTCCCCCACCCTGTTCCCAGATTTGCTTCCTCAGCCACCATAAATCCCAGGTGGCCCACCCTCTACCCCAGCTTCTGACCTGGGCAAAGTTCTTGGCCACATAATTCCACCTGACACTGGGTGTCCTGCAGCAGCAACGGAGAGAACGTGTGTCATTCTTTTATCTTGTTTCCTGCTCAGGGCCCAGATGCTGGGGGCCTCTCTCCCCGGTTCCCTCAATTGTTCAGGCCTGGCGGGGGGTGTTTCTGGGGAGTGGGATCTAGGACACTTGGCACCTTCTGTGGATTTAGCTTGGTTGTCAACTGAGGGCACCATCCATCTGCAGTTTGCTTCGTACCGAGGGGTTTCCCAGCATGAGGGATTTTCAGTGCCCAAACTGAGACAACTCTGGGCAAGCAGGACAGCTGGTCACGCTGGGTCACTATGGCCCAGGTGAGGAGGAGGGTTAGCTTAGCTGCTGCGTATTTCCCACCTTTACAATGGGCCGCTTCGCCAGCAAGTGTTTGGGCTGAGACTAGGGACCTCAGGGAGAGGAGGGGAGGAGGGCCAGGGCCCTGATTTGCCTGGGCCCTTGGGGAAGGGGCACAGGGTCTCACCTGGGGTATGTCTCCCTGTAGATGAGTGTGGGGCAGAAGAGGAAATAGAGGTAGCTGGAGAAACTGGGGGCCTCACCTAAGGAGGGGCAAGAGGGGAGGTCAGGGGTGGGAAAAGGGTAGAAGTAAGTGGGATGCTGGGGAGGGTGTTGGGTCCTTTCATTCCAAGCACCCCATTTTCTTGTGCAGGACTTGCTGTGGCCAGAGCTTCATTTGGTACCAAGTGCCACCACCCATCTCCCCCATTTACTTCCTTAAAAAGGTTCTATACCCTGCGTCCTTCCAGGCTAGCCCTGGAAATAGGAAGGGGCAGAGCCCTGGCCAGCAGAGGTGCCAGCCCTGCGAGCTGGGCCCGAGACTGAGAAGGGCAGCGCCCAGGGGGAGCCACAGCTGTGCCGCGCTGCGCCGGCCACCCCTGCCCAGGAACCAGAGCTTTCAGGAGGGCCCCCCACTGCTTGCTCCCTTGATTATTTCCAGCAGATGCAGCTGAAGGCTTCACCTCCTTTGACACCACAGGTCGCTGGCGCAGCCTCTCTCAAGAAGGAGTAGCTTTTCATCAGCAGCCTGACCTGAGGCGGAGGGGAGGGGGGTTGGGGTGCTGTGTCCTTGTGCTCTTGCTCGAGGCAGGGGGCAGGACGGCCACAGCGGGAAGGGCACCCGAGAGGCCTTCAGCCGGGAAGCCCCATCGCACCCGCGCCCCCAGCAGCGTCCATCGCGCCCTATTTCTCTGGGGCAGCCGGTCCGCTCTTGTCCCCCGCCCCTCCGCCCTTAGGCACGAGCTCCACCACCCGGACCCAGACGTCACGGAGAGCCCCCCTCACGTGAATCCAGCCCCCCCCACCCCGCCTGGCCCCGCCCATCACCTGCTCGAAGACGAGGATGCTGCGGGAGGCGGGCGGGAGCTGGTACCGCACCGCCACGTGCACCGGGAGCGCCCCCAGCACCGCCGTGTGCGCGGCCAGCAGCGCGCAGGCCAGGCCGGCCCCCAGCGCCCAGGCCCCGCCCGCCCGCGGCCTCGCCCACAGCCGCAGGGCCTGGTAGGGCACCAGCAGGGTGGACAGGAACATGGGCACCCAGGTCACCAGCGCCAAGGGCAGCTGTCCGAAGCTGAAGATCAGGAGGTCGAACTCCATCATCAGCCTTGCAGGGGGAAGGAGAGAGCAGACGCGGGTGGGCCCACCCATGCCTCCGCCGCGTTCAGGCCTCCTGGAAGACGGACTGAGGGTTCTGTGGGCGTCTGTTGCCCTGGCTCTGGCTCAAGGCTTGCCCTAGGAGACTCCCTCACGGGGTGGGTCGCCCTGGGACTTTCCAGTGCTGCAGAAGGGCTTGGGACGTGTCAGCCTCCAGGGTTGGGACGTGATGTATTTGGGATTTAACTTTTCATGCGTGTCTTTCCTCTGGACTGTCTGCACTTGTCCACTCAAGCTCAGCCAAAAGAGGTTGCTGAGTGTGGTTTGTTTAGGCCAACAGTGTTTGGTTTGTAACAGTAAAAAGCTGGAAACCACCTGAATTGTCCATTAGGAAAGGACTAAACAAACAGCATCTGGCCCTTCCGGACTGCAGTTATTAAAGATGAACTGATATGGAACTATCTGGAAGACAGAGTCTTAGGGAGTGGAACAAATCAGTAGGTACATTATCTTGTTTATGTAAACCTCCCACAAAATACATCGCCTTGGTTCAGCGTATCCATCTGGAGGTCTATTGAGGGAGAGCGCTCTGGAGGGAAACCCTCAAAACTAAAAATTGTTACCTCTGGGGAGTGAGCTGGGATTGAGGGGGGCGGTCAAAGACTGTCATTTTCCGTATACTTGAACGTTTTACTGGAAGTTGCACCTTATACTACTCATAATCAACAACAGGTTACAAAAAGGAAGTGCTGTCGCTGAACCTGCAGACCCTAAGCCTTGCTCAGGGTGAGGGGTCGGGGGGGACCTGCAAATACAGACCTTCCCAGGGGTATATAGTCTGCTGAGCCTTGTCCCAGAGTGGGGTGCCCTGTGGGGAGCACCACCGATGGGAGCCCTGGTGTGCATGCGGGGCTTCTCCCAAGATTGGGAGGGCCTCACAGACAGGGTGGGGTCTGCCCCTCATCTCTCTGGCCTTTGGGGTTGCTGTTTCTTCGGTGCTCAGTGGAGGTTACTTGAATTAATCAGCCCCGACTGGGAAAGGAGTGTGTGGGGACAGGTGCCAACACATGGATGTCTACCTGAGGGCAAGGTTCCTACTGAGAAATATTAAAGAGAGGTGTGTCCTCAGAGTGGCTGACCCTGGGAGGACAGAACACGGGGCATCTAAGGCTGAGGCGGGAGAAATCCAAAACAGCATTATAAGTGGGAAGGTTGTTGGGTGCGATGCCAGTGCATGTTCAATAATCAAAGGCCCTGAGCTCGCTCAGGCCAGTGGCAGGTGGAGCTCTGGGGCCCGGGGTCTGACCTGATCCTGTCCCGAGTGGGAGGGGCCTACCTGCCCTCGTCAATGAAGTCGATGGCCAGGGTGCTGATAATGAAGACACACAGGCCGGCGATGAACATGTGGTAGATGGTGCGGAAATGTTGCACCTCCATCAGCTCACTGGAGAGATAGGGCCCAGAATGTTAGCGTGGGAGGGTCCCCAAGGCAGAGTGGGCTAGGTCAGACTCTGTCCACGTGTGAGGTGGGGCCCAGTGATTTGGAACTTGCAGCTAAGGGCCGGGATGTGGCTGGGACCGTTATCCAAAACCCTTTCCCACCCAGACACTCCTTATCTGGGTGGCTTTTTTCTGTAGTCACATCCAGGACGAATATCTTAATTCCCTCTTTTAAGTCCTCCCCACAAATCACCTCGAGTCTGGGGATGATAGAGGAGTTGTTCTGAACCCCCGACCTCCCATCCTCTGTCCTTACCCCTGACTTACTCAAGCAGGGACTTGCGGATGATGAAAACTTTCCGCTTCCCCACGGATGTCTCCCTGGTCCTGAAATGAGATGGTTGTTCTGGGTCAGGGCCCAAAAGAAGAAATCAGTAGCCTTGGGAACCAAGGGCAGTAGTAGGGGAAGGTCAGGATTAGGGCCAGAGGGCAAGACCGGGTGGAAGGTCAGGGCCAGGGTACCGCAAGGCCCAGAGGTGGAGGTCAAGAAGGCAGAAGCAGGAAGGGGAGCGGTGGGGAAGCTGAAGTCAGGGTCACACCCGTGCTGGCAGGAGCAAGATGATGTTTATGCCTCACAGTCTTGAACATGATCCCACTCCAGCCATTCCCCAGCCCCTTCGCCCCTCAATTCATACTTGCTCAAGGAATCTGGAGGGTTGGAGGGCGGGGGTCCGCCTTGGGGTGGGTAGGATTGTACAGCCTCCCACATGGCCCGGTCCAGCAGCTCCATCAGCTGTCCCTGTGCTTTCTCCAGCAGCTGTGTCTTCACAGCCTACGGGACAGAGCAGGGCAGGGCCCACAGATCCTGCATCCAGTCGGTCATCCTGTCATTCACCAGACAGCTACTGAACTGCCTTCTTGTCAGGTTCGCTAAGTACTAGCAATAGAAACGAACAGGGCTGAGTCCTGCCCAGAGACTGTCCAGTGTGTCTCCCTACGGTGCCCCAGGGCAGCGGTGAGGATCTGGGGATGACAGTGACTGCGACACTTTGTCTCTGGGTCTGAATCTGAACCATCTTGTCAGCTCTGTCCCTCTCTCTTCTCCTTGGCCCCGGGCTCTCTCCTGACCTTTCACCCCACTCTCTGGAGAACTGCTCGCCCGCTGACTTTTGGTCCCTGCCCTAACCCCTCTATCTTAATCCTCGGCTCTACCCTTATCCAAGAGCAGTTGTCGTCACCAGCCCAGTGCTCGCCCCTCTCTCCCTCCACTCCCGACTGGACCCGTCTGTCTTGACCCCTGGCATCCCTCACCTCCATTTGTCGGGTCCATTGCACCAAGTCCAGGCCTCTGTTTGTCTCAGTGTTCCCTAGGAGGGGGTCAAAGGGCACACTCAAGGGGAGGAGCCAGGCCTCCGTGGCCTCTCTGCAGACCCAGAGGCTTCCTCTGTGCAGGAAATGCTTCCTACCTGCTCAGCAGCCTCCCAGCCCCCACCCAGTAGACTTAGTCTTAGGTGGGGCAGTCACAAGGGGAAGTTCTTTTTGCAGGGGGTGGGGAAGCCTTTGACCGGCAAAGAGCCTGGTGACATTACTGGAAACGGGATTCCCAGAGAGCAGGAAGCTACTGTCTTCACCCGCTGAGGTTAGAGAGTCTAAAGGCAAAGCCATGGCTCTGAATGGGCTTTTCTGCTCCTCTCCCCACTGGGCAGCGAGGATCAACGTCAGGATCCACCTTTCCTGCTTTCGCAGGGCCGCGGGGCGGACAGACTGTGCACAGTGCATCACGGCCACCACCCCACTCCCGGTGCCTGAGCTTCTGCTCTGAGGTGCTCACCTTCTCTGCTGGGGCGGTCCTCCTGCTGGCCTCTCTGGCCCTCTCTCTTCCGCAAGTGGGCCGCCTTTGATTCCATGATGGGAGCCTTCACTGGGCAGCGGGCAGCTGCGTCCCTCTCTCCTCCAAGGGCTGCCAAGCTCCTATCTCACTCAGCTTAGCTAACAGCGCCAAAGACTAAAGTCCTCTCCAGAGGAGGGGGCCTCGGGAGTGTGAAAGGTTATCTGCTCCAAGAGCAGAGCTTCTCAGCTACAGACTCCGCTCTGCTGGCCGTCCTGCTGCAGGGATGCAGCCCCCAGCTTCCCCGCCACCCAGGTGCCCGGTTCCCAGCATGCCCTCCCGCCCTCAGGAATGGTGCTGTGCATCGTGGGGAGGGGACTTTGCCTCTCAGAGCCTTATCTCCTTCCATGGCTCACCCTCCAATCTCTCCCTGCAGGCTGAAGGTGGGGAGGAGTCGGAAACATCTTTATGTACGGAGCACTGGGCTATTGCAGATGGTGAGATAGTGTGTGACTGAACTGTGTAATTCAGAAGCATATTTGCGTGTGATTAATATTCTGGTGGTATTGGCACCTGTGACAACTCGGCGCTGTGGCCCTCAAGGAAGTGCTGGTGCCAGGACCCCTGAATGCCAGCTCATCCCCACACCTGCTTGGGTTGGCTTGTAGGCAGAAGCAAAACACACACGTATTCAGCCCCGCCGTGATGTCAGGTATTGTCATACATGGAAGAACAGGATTTACACCCTCCTGTCACCTACTGGCTGTGTAATTTCAAGCAAGTGACCCAGAGATTTTAAGCCACAGTTTCCTCCTTTGAAAAGTGGGGCCCAAAATCCCTCCCTCACAAAATGAGGCAGTTCCTAAGTAAAAGCACGTGGTCTGTGAGAGGAGCTTGATAAATAATTATTTCCCTTCCCTTTTAGTAGGAAGTAACAGAAAGCTCTTTGTTGGGCTTCTGCTGGGGATTAACTATTAAGCCTTCCTCTCCCCTTTGTGCTCAAAGATCAGTATTAGAAAGGAGGTCACCACCTCAGGCCAAAACCATGGCCCAGTGTCTCCCTCCACACACACTGGCCTCCCCACCCTCTGCTGGGTAGTCTGGTGAGGCTGGAGGGTTTGAAACCTCTGCCAGCCTCCTTCCTTCCAAGTGCAGCAGAAAGGACAGAAGGTGGTCCGCAGGCTGTGGTGGGATGCTGCTACAGTGGGCTGGAGTGGAGGTAGAGAGAAGGGCCGTGGGTTCCAGAAATGTGAGAGGTGGAAGCAGGGATGCAGGTCAGACACCCCCAACACAGCTTTATTACCGCCCAAGCCAACAATTTTGCCAGGCGTGAGGCCCCAGGGATAGGGGAACAACAGGGTAGGGCCTGAAGGTGAAGTGTGGAGCTCAGGGCCCCTGAGCTACTCATCACTCAACAAATGACCCAACATGACAGCCCCAGGCTCCTGCTGGAGGCCCTGAAGCCCCCCACCCAGCCTCAGCCACTGCTGTCGGTGGCACAGTGGGAGTGTCCATCGCTGTTTGGGGGCCCTGGCAAGGGCTGGCCCATCCGATCCACACACCAGCAGGGACCTCGGCGTTGCCCCTGGGAGGAACGGCACTGAGGAGAGAGGTACAGGGATCAGGGGTGAAGCCTGAGGCTTCCAGGAGGAGAGAAGGGACTCCTGAGTCTGAGTGTGCACCTGAGCTCTGAGTGCTCCCTTCTCTTGCTTCTTCTCTTCACCCACTAAGTTGTGCCTGTTGTTTTTTAAAAATTTTTATTAGAAGATCTGGGGTGTAGGCTAGAGGTGCAGTGGGGGGTGGGGGGAATGAGAGGATTCACCAGAGAAGAGTGGGGGAGTAGAACAGGTGGATCTGCTGAAGTACACTGCTCAGGGGAGTAGCTGGCGAGACAGGAGAGGTCTGCTGTGCCATGTGGGTAGCTCCCTGGCCAGGGAAGGAACTCAGTCTATGACAGTGACAGTGCTGAGATTTAACCCCTAGGCCACCAGGGAGGCCCTAACTCGTGCCTGTTCTAGGCCAGAAGAGTAGTTCTCAAAGCATGGTTCCAAAAAAGCAGCATCAAGCATCACTAGGGACTGATTTTGAAATGCACATTCTCAGGCCCAACCCATACCTTCGGGATCAGAAACTCTGCAGGTAGGACTCAGCCACCTGTGGGACACACTCCTAGGCACTCTAACTCCCCAACTACAGCACCTGGTTGTTTTTTTCTTAGGTTTGTGTGGATCCAAAATTTACGAATCCTTAAAGGCAGGGTCAGGGGCCTATCTATGCAACCTTGTAAGCCCCCACCCCCTGCAGGTGCCATGTGCAGATGGAGTAAGCTGAGAAGAGTGGCCCTACCTGCCGCTTCCGGTAGAAGCCTCGGTGGTCACAATTAGGCACATAGAGCGTGTGAGCCCCTCGGTAGACCTCCGTCTGGAGCTGCTGCAGCACTGAGTCCAGATGCCTGCGGCACGGGCCCTAGGGCGCAGGGACAGCAGGCAGCTCAGTCCCGCCAGTCCAGTCCCATGGCACAGCCCGCAGGTCCCACCAACCCAACTCCCAGGACTGACCCTGGAGACTCCTGTTAGCCCCGGGAACAGTCTCACATGGAGTGTCCAGGGCGCCCCCCCTCCTGCTCCCTCCACCCCCAAACACACCATCTCAGTGTCTTGGACACCCCCAGAATTGGGCCGGGCAGGATTGGTAGAGGTCCCGGGATTCCTCTGTTGGTCTCTGCGGCTCCCGTCCTGTGGGCGAGGGGTCCCTGCTCGGGGTCTGCTCTCCTTGGGCTTCTCCCCTACAGCCGCAAGAGAAATGGGGGAAAAGCTGGAAATCAGCCAGATGTCAAAGACCAGAGCTAGCGGGAAAGAGCTTCTACCAGCTGAAGAGAGAGGAAGAGACTTAGGGAGCGGGGAAGTGAGGGATGTTAGAACCTTCTCCACCTTCTTCTGGTCTCACTTCCTTTCTCTGAAAAACGGTGATAGTACCTTTCCCGGCAGTATCTTCAGACTAATGTTCAGACTTACAGAGAAGCATTTTAGAAAGCAAAGATTGAGAACAAATCCAAATACATGAGGAGACCTTGGGCTTGGGGGTGAGAAGCCTGGGCCGGCCGTCCCGCTAGTGGCCGGCAGGGGGTGCACCGACCCAGGGCGATGGAGCAGAGGACACCAGATGTGGGCAGAGGTCAGCCGGGGCCCAAGGGGAGGGCTCGTCCCTGCCGTGCGCCTACTGTGACTCTGCTGTGACTCGGCTCACCCCTTGCGGGCAGGCCTGAGACCCGGACTCTTTGGGGGCATTGCAGCAGAGCCCTCTCCCTTCTGGCCCCCTGGGGTTCAGCCCTGCTCAAGCCCAGTGTTTCCAGGAACATGTGGGATTCAGTCCTTCCCCCGGACAGGCTGAGGGCAGGCTGCAAAGGTGTCTGGACTGAGGGGCTTCTAACCCGCAGGCTGCTCCTGGCTTCCCAGAGAGTTTAACACGTGGTGTCTTGGGGGGCCTGGGAGAACTCAGGACTGGGAGGGGTGCGGAAATAAGTCTGGGTGAGGAAAAGGCAGGGAGGGGAGCATGCCTTGCTCGAGTTTGCCTTGTTGTAAAATTAGATCTTAAGACCCCGGAAGGGATGGTCGCTCCCTCTCCAGGCCCGAAGACAAGCTCGCCGCAGGTTCTCAGCCCTCAAACCTGGACAGTCGCTTCCTTGTCTGCTCCGGCAAACCCAAAGCCATTTCCTCTGCAAGGCTGAGCCCAATCCTTCTTCCACCCTCCTGTCCAGACCTTGCCCCTCCTTCCCTTCATCGAGCACCAGACCACCACCAAGATCCCAGTTGGTCCTCACAGCCACACCACCCCTTCTAGGGGGACCCCTAGCAGCCTGGATCCAAGCATTTGGGATGAAAAGAAACTCCGATTTAATTTTCCATCCCTTCCCATGGAAGGAACCAGGAGCTTCCTGGGAGGGCTCTTTGCATTTCCTGCCTTCCCTAGCTCCCTACTGCCCCCCCCCCCCTTTTGGATTCTGATTCACTCTGTCCCACCCACCCAGTGACTCAGCCTCTGGGGTAGGGTGGGGTGGATGGAGGCTTCTGAGCAGCTTTAAATCATAACCCTGATTTGACAGATTCCTTCTTTTCCGACCTCTGTTTCCCTCCCTGGGGGCCCCGTCCGTCCTCTCACCTTGCCTGGCCTGAAATAATTCTGAATTTGGGGCATCTTCTGTTCTAAACCTCATGTTCAGCTGCTTGTCTTAATACCTTGGTTTTAAGAAATCAATAGAATTATTTATATAATAGAATTATTTTTTCTTAATTCAAGTATTTTCTTAATACGCAGATATTAAGAGGGGAGAGGGAGACAGCGTGTACAGGGTTTGGGAGGCTGGGATCCCCTCCACCCTTACTCCAAGTGGAAGCTGGGAACATGTGGGTCCTTTCTCCAGCTTGGAGGTCTGGGGCTGAAGGAGCTGGGCCCCTGGGTCATAGGACATGCCTCAAAACCTCTTCATCACCCACTACTTTCCCTTCAAGAGAAATTAAATAGAAGAGGGTGGGGGGCGGAATCCTGAGGGTCAGACTATCCCTGCCCTCCTTGTCCCTGGGACCTCTAGCCTCACCCCAAATTTTCACTTCCCTCCACGGGCCCCTTCACCCCCAAATGGAGCCCCCAGAAGTGGGAAAGAGGAAGACTCAATGGCAGGAACCAGGGGTTTGCGGGGCGGGAGGCGCGCGCCTACCCAGAGCCGTGCCCGCAGACTTGGGGGGCTCAGGGGGGCGGGCCAGGCGGAGCGGACTCACCCGAGGGCGCGCGCGCAGGGCCGCAGCGGCCCCGGCCCTGCAGCAGCGCCCGCAAAGGGGCCTCCTCTTCCTTGGGCGGCAGACACTGCAGTCCCGGGGCGCAGTTCGGGGTGTAGACCCCGCACTGCTGCCCCTCCCGCCTGAGACAGCCCCCAGCTTCCGCGCAGCCCTCCTCTGACAGCCCCCCGTCCTCCTCCTCCACGCAGCCCCCGCGACAACCCGCCTGCGCTCCCTGCCCGCAGCCTGGGCACCGTGCCAGGGCGGCTCCGGGGCGGGCAGCGAGCAGCAGAGTTAGCAGCAGCAGCGGCGGCGGCAGCCTGGGGGGGGTCATGGTCAGGATGGCCCCGTCCACTCCTCTCAGCAGTCCCGGCGCAGCTACTGCCCGCCGCCGCCCCTCCGCCTTAAGTAGCCGCCTGCCAGGGGCCGGGCCCTTTAAGAGCCAGGTGCAGGGGGGTGGGGGAGCAGGCTGGGCCTTTCCCTAAACTGGGTGGGACGGCAGGCCCCCTCCCCGACACCTGCGGCCGGCCCGCCCTTCGCGCCCCCTCCCTTCCCAATTTCTGTTTACTTCCCAAATTATTCTGATTTTTCTTGCTTTGTTCCCGGGAATCGCCTCTGGAATTTGGGAGCTGGACGGCTGGGTGGAGGGACTGGAGGGCGGGGTGGGCTGGAGAAGGGAGGACGGAGCTGGGAAGGAGGAAAATCTGAAATCCAGTTGAGTAGGAGGAGGAAGGGGTCATAGGAAGGCCAGGGAGTGAAATGCTGGGGTCTCCACGTGGGTGCAGTAGGGATGGTGAGTGTGTGGGGAGGTCTTGAGGCCAGTGGGGAACAGCACAGAGAGGAAAAGGCCGAGGTGATGGTCTAGGGAGACCCTTCTGCAGGGGAGAGAGTAGACCAAAGCAGAGCAAAACCCAGGGAGAGAAAACCTCCCAGAGCTGTGACTGCCTGAGAGAGAGCCAGTCGGGGCTAGGATGGTGAGAGGGGTTTCGGGGCGCAAGGGGTGTGGTGGAGAGTAGAGAGACACACATTGAATGAACGCTCCGAAACCACAGTGAGTCTGGGAGGATGGCAGAGGCGTCGCATGGGCAAGAGTGAGAACTGGCTGAACACCCGGGAGGGAGGGACAGGGCAGAACTGGCAAGTTGAAATTGTGGGGGAGAGGGTAAAAGAGGAGGAACCCACACTCCGTGCTTTTGGGACCAGTAACTTGAGAGCCCACCCCATCCCCATTCCTGTCCTTCATCCAGGCCGGCTCACCCCTCTGTTCCACTCCTTGTCTAGAATCTGCCCCTGACCCCATCCCCAACCAGTATCCTCCACTGGGGTTTCTGGACTCATCGGGCTGTGCAGTGCCCAGGGAATGGTGGAGAGTGGAGGGCGATTGGTTGGGGCGCTTCAGCCTGCCTGTTTGTGGCCTTCACTGCACTGGTCTGTTCCCCCCAATACCCCTTCCTGACGGTCCTTCCCCAGGCAGGGCCCCACCCATCCCCAGCACTAGAGGGAGGAAGAAGGACCAGCAGTCCACACCCACCCAGCTCTGGGTTATGCAACAAAGGCCATCTCATTCTTTCCTAAAACAAGGGCTTCGGGCAGTGACTAAATTTAATTCTGGGCCCCTGAGCAAGAATATCAGCAAGGGCTTCCTGGACATTTAGGTAAATAAAAAGAAACTCACTCCCAGCGCTACCCCCTTCACCCCCACCCCCACCCCCACCCCTTACAGTGCAATCCCAGGACTTGAATTTAGGGACCTGTGTCTCTCAGTAACCCTGAGACACTGACTGATGCAGATTGGTGGTGGGGAGGGGGGTAGCGAGTGAGAGGGCCCCCCTTCCACTCTGTGGAGGCTCTGTGGACTCTCTTGCCCCAAGCTCTGACCCCAGGGCAAGGAGCTTTGTTTCTGTCCCCAAACCCTTATCTCTGTTTATTTTGCCCTGCATGGGGTTCTGGCTCCAGCTTGTTACTCCTGAATATAAGGAAAGGCCTATGGGAAGTTGGGATGGGGAAGAGAAGGCCATGCTCCCAGGATCCCAGCATGGCTTTTTTTTTTTTTTTTTTAAGATTTATTTATTTATTATTTATTTATACAAGCACTGGGTACAGTCAGAAGTTGCGGGAGGGTGAGAGAATTCACCAGAGCCGGGAGCAGAGCAGGCAGAAGGACCGAAGTACACTGCTGAGGGGAGCAGCGGGCGGCAGGAGAGGTCTGTGTGCCGTGTGGGACCCTCCTCCGGTGGCTGGGGAGCAGCGGGGGATCGAACCAGCGCTGGTGCCACAGAGGCTGCAGGCAGCTTCGCAACCCAGCGCTCAACCGCTGCGCCACCTGGGAGGCCCCCAGCGTGGCTTTTTAATTGTGTTTGTGCCCCTGCTTTGTAGGTTATATTGCAGAAAAGCCCAATACTCTGCCAGCCTGTCACATCCACCACTCCCTTCTCTACTGCCTCCGACTACTGGCACCCCTACAGATTCCTCCTATCTGGCTTAACGCCCCACTGCTGTCTAAGCTGGTTGTGCATCATCGTGCCCGCCTCAGGGCAATGTCTTCCCCCTCCCCCATCCCTCCAGCCTGGATGGCCAGAGTTCCCTGGGGTCAGTGCCAGGAGTCTAATAGCTCCTTCCTGCAGACTGAGACCTTGAGCTCCACCTTACACCTGGAGCAGGAATAGGGCACTCAGGTGGAGTGTGGGCCAAGGTGCAAGCCCCTGGGACTCTGGCCTCTTCGTGAGAGAAGAGCTGCAGACGGCTTCTGCCAGGACCGTGAAAAGACAAAACAGCCTGGGTCACTACTTGGACTTTCCCAAAAACTCTACTGCCACGTCCCCCTCTTAAACATTCCCCGCTGTCCTTCTGCCCCTCGTGCCCTGCATTGCTCCCGCCCAGTCTTGCCTCCAATTCTGGCATCCCCAGATACTGACTTTCTTTTGAAAACAAGGGGTAGATGAGGGGGTCTCCCAGACCTTTTTGGGCTTTGATTCTGAGGAAAGACAAGTGGTGGCATAGTCCACAGACAGAAAGACCTAGAAAAGGGCTTCATTGACTATATCATCAGCTACCCCAAAGCCACCTGGCTGGCCTCCAAGCTTTCAGGTCACAGGGACTAAACCCTTCTTACTATTCCTTCACCACAAACCACATTCTTTTTTTTTTTTTTTTTTTTTTTAAGATTTATTTATTATGCATACAAAAACTGGGGTACAGGCCAGAGGTGCGGGGGCTGAGAGGATCCACCAGAGACACAGTGGGGAACAGAACAGGCAGATTGACTGAAAAATACACTGCTGAGGGGAGCAGTGGGCGAGTCAGGAGAGGTCTGCTGTGCCGTGAGGGTAGCTCCCTGGCCGGGGATCAGACTCATGCTGCAGTGGCTGCGGACAGCTTCATAGGTTGTGTCTTAACACCTTGTGCCACGAGGGAGGCCCCCATGTGTCCCTTTTTAACAACTCTAATAGTTTATCTTGTTCTAGCGGCTTTTCATGTATTATGTCATGCCTGCTTCTGACTAGCTTATGAACAGGGACCACATCCTCTAGTTTCCTCTGTAAAATGGGTGTGGCAGTATTTGCTTTACAGAATTGATGTAAGAGTTAGAGATAATTCATATAATGTACATGGTGGGCACTCAGTGATTTAGTTTTTCTGTAATGAATGAAGTGACTAACTCAGTTCCTAGCCCACCCTAAAGTATTCAGTATTTGTTGGAGGATTGATGCAACCTTGGTTCAGAATTGTCCTGTGCATTGGATAGCCTCATTGGATTGGAAGAGATACAGAGAAAGGTAATGTTTCCGTGGGGAGAAGATACCAGCCTGTCTGAGCTAACCAAACTGATAAAGGCTCTCTAATCTGAAGAGGAGGCAGAAATATTCATATTCAACTGAAGTTCACTGAATGGTTATTTATATTTAGCATAATTCTCACAATGTTCCATTACCATCTCTATTTTGCAGATAAGAAGACATATTTAGAGAGACTAAGTATGTTGCCAAAGGCCACCAGGATAGATGGTGGGATCCACTGGATTTCAAGTGTAGAAAAACTTTCATTATGTAGAAAAACATTAAGAATGTGGATAAGGGGCCTCCCCTGGTGGCACAGCGGTTGAGCGCTGGGCTGCGAAGCTGCCTGCAGCCTCTGCAGCACCGGTTCGATCCCTGGCCTCCTGGCGAGGGTCCCACATGGCACGCAGACCTCTCCTGCCGCCTGCTGCTCCCCTCAGCAGTGTACTTTGGTCCTTCTGCCTGTTCTGCTCACCGCTCTGGCTCTGGTGAATTCTCTCACCCTCCCGCGCTTCTGACTGTACCCAGTGCTTGTATAAATAAATAAAGAAATCTTAAAAAAAAAAAAAAAGCTTTAAAAAATAAATGAAAAAGAGTGTGGATGCATACAAGTTAAATGCAGACTTGTATGCTAGATTCTTTAAATACTCAAACCACGTGTAATTTCTAGAACTAAAGGCTGTTGTTTTTTGGCAAATAAAAGGGATGGTTGCTTTATATTGGAGTGGATGGAAATAAACACAATGAACATATTATGATAAACAGCACAGATTGAAAAAGGAAAGAAGTTAGAAAAGAATTAATAAAATCATAGATAAAATATCCTTGGCAAGTCATGAAAAGACTAGACTTCTTCCTCTTCCTGAACTTTGAGTATACTTCCGAGCCTATCCAAAGGCAACCTGGGGCAGTTTGAGAGCTGGGTTCTTGTGCTTTTGGGGGGGGCTAGCTGACTTCCCTTACGTAGACTGTCTTTGGCAAAGCTGTTGAAGAACGAAACCCGACTCTAACAAAATATGGGTTATAGTTAATATATATTTTTAAAGATTTATTTATGCATGCAAGAACTGGGGTGCAAGCCAGAGGTGCAGGGGGTGAGAGGATTCACCAGATCCAGAGAGGGGAGCAGAACAGGTGGATCTACTGAAATACACTACTGAGGGGAACAGCACATGAGAGATCTGTGGTGCCATGTGGGTCACCTCCCTGGCCCAGGATGGAACTCTGCTTGATAGTGCTGAGACTTAACCCTTTGTGCCACCAGGGAGGCCATGCAGAGTACCTATTTTTTTTAAAGATTTATTTATTTATGCATACAAGAGCTGGGGTACAGGCCAGAGGTGTGGGGGGTGAGAGGATTCACCAGAGACAGAGCCGGGAACAGAACAGCCAGACTGACTGAAATACACTGCTGAGGGGAGTAGTGGGCGAGACAGGAGAGGTCTGCTGCACCATGTGGGTTGCTCCCTGGCCAGTCCAGGATAGAACTCATGCTGCAGAGGCCGCAGATTGCTTCATAGTGCGGTGCTTAATCCTTTGCGCCACCAGGGAGGGCCTAGAGTACTTATTAATGGTAAGACTTGGATGGGGCCCGGGATCAGAAGGAGCTCACAATCCAGTGGAGGCAGCTCTACATACACAGGTGGCTTTAATAATAAAAGACTGTAATTAGTGCTACATGTGGGGTGTTAAGGACACGGTATTTTATTTATTTAAAGGTTTTTTAAAATTTATTTATGCATACAAGAGCTGGGGTGTAGGCCAGAGGTGCGGGGAGTGAGAGGATTCACCCAAGGCAGAGTGGGGAGCAGAACAGGCGGATCTCCTGAAACACACTGCTGAGGGGAGCAGCGGGCGAGACTCCTGAGGTCTGCTGCGCCACGTGAATCGAACTCGCGCTGCAGAGGCTGCGGACCTCCCCACAGCGCGGTGCTCAACCCCCTGCGCCACCAGGGAGGCCCAGAACACGGCGTTTTAAATGCAGAGGAGGGGAAAACCTTCCTATCTGGTGAAATTTGGTGACGGGAGGAAATTGGGGAAGTCCGCTACCTCCCTCCCCGCCCCCCGCCATAAACACCCTTTAGAAGGTGTCCATGAAATCGACATTATAAGCCCAGCCTGACTTCCTTTCCCGCCGAGGCCCCTGGCTCCTGCACGGCCTGCGGTCTCAAGCCTCGGCCTTCAGCGACCGAAGCTTCTCCTCCCGGAGCGGCGCACCCCAGTCAGGGCGGGCGTCAAGACACGGGCTCGGGCGACTGTAACGCACACGATGATGGCGAAACTGCACGAGCCGCGGGGCCGGCCGCGGCCTCACCGCCCGCGGAGGGCCAAGCCCGGCTCCTCGGGGCGGCGGGCGGCCTGCGAGGACGAGCCTCAGTCCCGCCATCGCGCCGGCCCCGCGGGAGCGCCCGCGAAGGGCTCGCAGCATTTGCGCGCACGTCGAGACCGTCGCCCTGGCGTCTGCCCGCGCAGGAGCCGCCCCCGCCGCCCGGCCAGCGCCCAGCGCGGCGCCCCGCGCGGCTCCCGCGCCGCCACGTCGCCGCCCCCGACCCTGCCCGCGGCGGCGCCGCCCGGCCCCGGCCCCACGCGAGGTACCGGCTTCACCGGGCCGCGCCCCGACCGGCCTGCAGCTTCCGATTGGCTCCTTCAGGTGTCTGTCCTCCGGGGCCGCTGCGGATTGGCCGGGCGGGCGGGGCGGGGCGGGCCCCGAGGAGCGTCGCCAGGGCGGGGCCCCGGATGTGTGTGGTGGCGGCGGCCGAAACCTGGAGTGCGGCGCTGAGAGGCCTATGGATGAGGAGGACGCGGCGGCCCCGGTAGGCGGGGATCGGGGCGGGGTCCCGGAGGCCGCGGGTCTCCCGGGAGCGGGAGGCGGGAGGCGGGGGTCTTGGGCGGGGGCTGCGGGGTCAGGGGCGGGGCCTGTCGCTCGGGCCCGCGCTTCCTCCCGGGGAGCCGCCGCGGCGGGGCGGGCGGGGCCGGGCGTAGCTCCCGCCGGGGCCGCGCCCCGCGCCCCTGCGTGTCCGGAGGGACCGGGCCCTGCGCGGGCGGAGGCGGCGTCCAGGGCGGCCGCCACCCGCGGGGGCCGGGGCTGTGGGGCCGGGCGAGCGTTGCCCGAGGTTTGGGCCCCGGGGTCTCCCGGGGGTCGTGCCCGGGCGCGGGGCCCCTGGGGCTGGGCCGCGTGGTGCAGGGGGCGCTGCAGAAGGGGTGATGGGCGCAGCGGGGTTGGATCAGCCTGACCAAGGCGTGGTGAGCACCGACTGGGTGCAAGGCCTTGGTGGAACCCCCGATCAGGGTTTTAGAGGTGGGAAAAGCAAAGAACCTCACCATTTGCTCACCCGGCCCCAGGGAGAAATTCATTCATTCATATGTGAGCACCGCTGGCTGTTTGAGTGCCTGGAGCGTCGTAGTCTCTCCATCTTCCTTCCTCTGAACTGCTTCTCTCATCTCAGTTGTTCAACAATCTCCTCATTAAAATTTTTCGTCACTTCTGCTTTTGCTTCTTATGTTCAGTTCCCCAACCAGCAGCCCACTGGTTTTTAAGATCTGATAAACTTAAGGTCATATCATTTCCTTGTTTAAACTCTTCATAGGGGCCTCCCTGGTGGCACAAGGGGTTAAGCACCGCACTATGAAGCAATCCACAGCTTCTGCAGCACGAGTTCGATCCCTGGCCGGCCAGGGAGCAACCCACTTGGTGTGGCAGACCTCACCTGCCTCGCCCGCTGCCCCCCTCAGCAGTGTATTTCAGTCAGTCTGGCTGTTCTGTTCCTCACTCTGTCTTTGGTGAATCCTCTCACTCCCCGCATCTCTGGCCTGTACCCCAGCTCTTATATCTATAAGTCTTTTTTTTTTTTTTAAGATTTATTTATTTATACAAGCACTGGGTACAGTCAGAAGCGTGGGAGGGTAAGAGAATTCACCAGAGCCAGAGCGGAGAGCAAACAGGCAGACTGATGAAGTACACTGCTGAGGGGAGTAGCGGGCGGCAGGAGAGGTCTGTGAGCCATGTGGGACCCTCGCCCGGTGGCCAGGGATCGAACCGGTGCTGCAGAGGCTGCAGGCAGCTTCGCAAGCCAGCGCTCAACCGCTGCGCCACCGGGGAGGCCCAATCAATAAATCTTTAAAGGGCCTCCCCGGTGGCGCAGCGGTTGAGCGCTGGGTTGCAAAGCTGCCCGCAGCCTCTGCAGCGCCGGTTCGATCCCCGGCTGCTCCCCGGCCACCAGAGGAGGGTCCCACATGGCGCGCAGACCTCTCCTGCCGCCCGCTGCTCCCCTCAGCAGTGTACTTCGGTCCTTCTGCCTGCTCTGCTCCCCGCTCTGGCTCTGGTGAATTCTCTCACCCTCCCGCGCTTCTGACTGTACCCAGTGCTTGTATAAATAAATAAAAATAAATCTTTAAAAAAAAAAAATCTTTAAAAAAAAAAAAAAAAAAAAACTCTCCATAGGTTTCCCGCCCCACTTGGAATAAAATCCAGACTCCTTAATGTGGGCTGTAGGCTCTTGATCTGGCCCCCATTTCCTCCTGACTTCTTGTACATGGCCCCTGCATTCCCTGCACACCAGCCACCCTGGCCTTTCTGTTTCTCTCCCACCTCAGGACCTGTTTCCTGGCTGTCCCCTCTGCCTGGAATGCTCTTTCTGGGGCTTGTCACATGCTGGTATCTTCTCATCGCCACTCAGATGTCACCTCCTCAGAAAGGCCTTCTCTGTCCGCTCTCACCAAAGTATTCTTTAGCTAGTCTTCACCCCATTATTCTTTATCACGTCACCCTGCTCTTTACCCCACTAACACTGCCATGTCTGTTTACTGTCTGTCATGCCCCCCCCACTTGAAGGAACCCCTGTGAGGACAGGAGTCCTATCCATCTTGTTCACAGCTGCTTTCTCAGCACCTCAAACAGTGCACAGTGGGAGCTGAAATGATGAATGAAAGGGTGAGGATGGGGATTTTGGGATCAGTCTGGGCAGCTGATTTCGAGGCCAGTGCCCTCTCCGCATTCTGGGTCCAGCAGCTCGAGGGCTCTGCTCAGGCCCCTGCGCGTCCTCAGGCCGCTTCTCCCTTTGGCAGGTTTGTTCTCATGAACAAGATGGATGACCTCAACCTGCACTACCGGTTTCTAAACTGGCGCCGGCGGATCCGGGAGATTCGGGAAGTCCGTGCTTTTCGATATCAGGAGAGGTTCAAGCACATTCTCGTAGATGGAGACACTCTGAGGTGAGTTTAGAGGAATGCGTCCATGTTTTCTTGCCTGTGCCACATCTTTGGCAGAGGCAGAGGACTGTCAAGACTACTTTGGGGGAGGGGGCTTTTGACCCTGGAGGCCTTTCTGAGTAGAGGGGTGGGTTTTGCTTCATCCTGAACTCCCTTATGTCTGCCTTTGGGTCACACTGTCCTCGTCTGGCATTGTCAGAGCTGGGAGGCTGCTGGGGTGTCGGGGTTGCCCAAATGCCTTGTAGAGAGGACGCCAGTGGGTCTGTGGGGTGTCTGGGTCCCCTGCCTGCAGTTCAGTGGCCATTGTCAGTAGTGCAGTTGCTGTTTTGGGAGGGACAGTTCTGTAGTGCCTCCTGCCCACCATCTTCCAACCCTTTGGCTTGTGTATTTGTGTGTTTTCTTCTTCTTTTCTGGCTTGATCCCTTTCCCTGACTCCTTCTGAGCTGAATTCTCTCACAGAGTTGTCCCTGACGGAGTGTTGGGGAGGGAAGGAAGTAGTGCTATTTAGCCAGAAGATAAGAAAGCTGAGGAAGGGGCATTGAATAACTGTCTTTCAATCTACGAAGGGCTGTGGTACAGAGGATAGAGACCAGCCGTTCTCCAGCTCCACTGAGGACAGAGCCAGAGGATAAGGGCCGAAGCTGCAGCATGAGGGATTGAGGTTAGACAGGGTTGTGAGACCCCAGCAGGCAACTGAGGGAGGCTCTGCATTCTTTTCCCCCGTAGATGAAGAAGCCCGGCTTGTGTTGGTCTGGTATGGGTTGGACCCTGGCTGCAAGCAGTGGGAGGGGTGGGGTGGCTCAAGTATCTTATCACGGTGTCTGCGCAGATCCTGAAGTATGGCCTGATGGATTCTCCTCGTGCTGGCCCTGGCAGGGTGGGGGTGGGGATGCTGAGGCCCTCCCCGCAACTCATGAACCGGCTGCTAATGGAACTCTCCCTCATTCCTCCTTCAGTTACCATGGAAACTCTGGTGAAGTTGGCTGCTATGTGGCTTCTCGACCCCTGACCAAGGACAGCAATTATTTTGAGGTGATCCAAGCAGTGGGTGGGCAGAGCAGGGGGTGAGATGATTAAGCTCTAAGGAGCTTTTGTCTGAGATTCATGATCTGATCCTTTAAATTTCCCATCAAGGCTGTCCTTTTGTGTGGGGAAGGGGCACACATCTGAGAGACAGGTGCCCTGAGTGCTGTCACCGGGCCCTTCCGCTCCCTTGCTCCTCCTCACCTAGGTAGACTTGGACCCATGTCCTTTCCCACCCCCTGATCCCAGCCCACCATCTACTCCATCTTCTGTCTTTTCCCTAAGCAATGATAGTAAAGTAACCCCCCCCCGCCACCGCCCCGCTCTCCCTTTGGGTGCCCTGTCTTTGTCTCAGATTCTCTCATGTCTTTTACCTCTTGGGGGCTCAGCCTCCTCTGATGTCTATGTTTCCTTCCCCAAAACACTCAGCAGTTCATCCCTTTCCCCACCCCTGCTAACTGCCGGCTGTCCCCCAGGTGTCTATTGTGGACAGCGGGGTACGGGGCACCATAGCTGTGGGCCTGGTTCCTCAGTACTACAGCCTGGATCACCAGCCTGGCTGGCTGCCTGACTCCGTAGCCTACCATGCTGACGACGGCAAGTGAGTTGCCCCCGTGAAACCTGCCCCTTTCCTGTGGATTCGGGAATCTTAGATATAACAGGCTATCTCAGGGTGACCCTTGTCATTCCTTCACCTGTCTTGGGGTATTTCTTGGTTTTTCTGATCAGGACAGGCAGGTGGTCCAATGGCTACCCTTGGATGTTTGCAGACTTGGAGGGGAGGGTGAACCCCATGGCAGGATATCAGGATCTCACAGAGTGACTGGGAGCAGTGAGACATGAAGCCTCCGCTATCAGCGCGGGGGAGAGGTTGCGAGGCCAGAGTCGAGTCCCATGTCTGTTTTCTGTCCACAGGCTGTACAATGGCCGAGCCAAAGGTCGCCAGTTTGGGTCAAAGTGCAACTCTGGGGACCGAATTGGTTGTGGCATTGAGCCTGTGTCCTTTGATGTGCAGACTGCCCAGATATTCTTCACCAAGAACGGGAAGCGGGTGAGTGGGAAACCCCACGCGGGCAGCTTGGAGCTGTCCCAGCATGCGTGCGGCAGCAATAAACAGGAGTGCTGCCGGGACCTAGCCAGGGGCCCACAGGCTCTGTCCCCACTGCCTTCAGTGCAGCCTCTGATCCTCCTGGAGTAGAAGGTTCTTCTGCATGTGGAAGGCACTTTCCCAGCTCAGAGGCACTAGGATATTACCCTGATGTAGCTGTGGAGGGCATGTTATTGTAGTGGGGGGCAGAAATTGTGGGGGACAAAATTGGGAAGGATTTGGGCAAAAAAAAAAGGGGGTGGAAGATGATAGTCTGGCTGTAGAAAGCTGGAGGTCCTCTATGTATTGTTGGCTTGAGAGCTTTTGAGGATATGTCCTGTCTGTGTTTATTTTGCTTATATTTTGCTTATATTTCCCTTCCCTCTTCAGAAAGAGACTATAGTGGTGATGAGATGGGATACATGAGCGAAGTGAAGCCAGAGACTCTGGCTCTCTTTCTTTTCCCAGCTCCATCTCTGCCCTGGGAAAACTGCTTTCTAAGGCCTTGTCTGGGTGGTCCTGCTCCCTTAGCATCTGTACCTCCTGCTTTGCTGCTCTGGTTCACACTCATGTGTACCCAGTGTATTTGGCAGCAAGTCAAGGGACTTGTGTTGGCCTCTAGCTCTGTGGTCACTTTGCTCTACCAGGAGGGCTTCGCAGCTTTTTAAACTTTTCTATAACTCTGGGTTTTTCATTTTTTTTAAAAAATCTGTCAGTGTGTATAATTATTCGTTGCATTATCTCAAAAGGACCCTTGTGAAAATGAGGTGAGCTATGGGGAGGGGAGCCAGCTAGCAGCTCTGTCCCTCCCTCCACTGCAGGTGGGCTCTACCATCATGCCCATGTCCCCAGATGGGCTGTTCCCAGCAGTGGGCATGCACTCCCTGGGTGAGGAGGTGCGACTACACCTCAATGCTGAGCTGGGCCGTGAGGACGACAGCGTCATGATGGTGGACAGTTACGAAGACGAATGGGGCCGGCTGCACGACGTCAGAGTCTGTGGAACTGTGAGTAGGGGGCCCTTGGAAGGGCTGGGCAGAACTGTAGGCCACACAGCAGTCGGAATCACTCAGATGGGGATTGGGGCAGTGGCTTTTGTAGGGGTTTGAGAGACAAGAGTGTGAACAGGATAGCCTGAGACATGGACACGATCTGTTGGGTCTAGATCCCTGTTCTTCTGGGGGCTGAATCCCTTTCTTCTCTTCTGTCATGTGACAGCTCAGGTTAGTTTCGCTTGCAGAACATGTAGTGGTTCTCTTTCACCTTCTTTGGTTCCTTAGACACCTGCTGCCCTCTGCTGCCCTGCCTTTGAGGGGTTGGGGCTGATTTGGAGACAGCTCAGCTGGCCCACACCTTCCATTCACAGTGCTGTGGGACAGCTGTGGCCCCAGATCCCACACGTGGGGGTGGAGGCTCTTTGAGACTTTTATCAAGTGTCAGCGTTAATTTCTTCTGTTTTCCCTATACATTTCATACAGGGTGAGAATAGAGGTGGGTGAATATTCAGTAAGAACCCCTAACCCTAAATCTTAATCCCTAATCCCTAAAACTTCATATCATGCCTGTATTAGGTTTTAAACTTCTTTGGGGAGCATGACCTTGAGAGAGGGAAATTCTTCATGTCTACCCTCTGTGAGTGGATGCTGAGTCAGGGGTTTGGCCGTGACCTCTCGTGGGCTGCTCAGGCCTCCTACTTCGAATTGTCCCTCTCTTGCCCTCCTGCCCCCAGCTCAGCCTTCTTCTCCACCCTCTGGCCTTCTCACCCCAACCCGGGCTGTTTTCAACTCAGCTTTTGAGAGCAAAACAGAAGCAGTGGGGGGTGGAAATGGATTATGAGCAAGACTCTCCCCTTCTGGAGTTCAAGGTGAGTCAAACTCAGGAAAATGGCAGAAAGTGTGCCCTCCTGCTACTTCTGACACTCTGCACCTCCTTGTGGCACTGGGATCACATACTGCAGTGGTTATGAGCTAGGAGGCCTTAGTGCCCACTATGTGACCCGTCTTTCCCCTTCCACCACCATTTTGACAACATCCACACAGTTGAACTTGGGCCTGAGCCAGGGCGATGTTCCAGCTCTTATTCCTGACCTCTCCTCAAGAGTTTTTTCCTGGCATCCTTTCCCTGCCTGGACCTGTCCCCACTCTGCTCCCAGCTCCTCCCAGGCAATCTTTTTTAATTGATGCAGAATCTTGTAGACATTTATAAATAGCTTTCCTTCCTCTCTGCCTTCCCCCAAGTCCCCTCAGGACACTCATTTAAGAATTTTTTCTTTCTTAGACGTAAACTGTTGAGTTTGGCTCTTCTCAGGCCCTCACCCCAGCTTGGGACAGCTGTCAGAGTGGGCAGCTTGCTCCCTGCGTCCTTGCTGCTCTGGGGCAAGCTTGGGTATGAGCCTCTTGAAGGACAGCTGCCTCTCTTCCGGTCTTGCCAGCTCCCCCCATCCTCTGCTGTCCTGCCCACCAGCCCTCCTTGTCTCTTGGCCGCCTTTCTTTTTTCTCCTCCTAACCATGGGCTGTATTTCTGACTTGGTGATCAGCATTGTGTTTGCCTGGAGGAGCCTGGGAAAGGTCATTTAGGTCATGCGTGTGCTCCTGTTTCTAGAGATGTCTAGCACAGCTGTTTTTCCTTTTTGCCCTTCCTGATTTTTACACCTGCCTCCAGGGGGCCCTTCCTTGGACCTCAGACCCCTGCAGCTTCTCCTGCCTTAGGTGAGGTTCTCAGTAAAGTGCCTTTTTGGAACATAGAGTTTTGAGAGAGACTTTGATGTCATCCATTCCAGGGTTTCTCACAGGGGAGATTGTTGGTATTTTAGGTGAAACAGCTCCTTGATGTGCAAGAGGTTTAGTATTCCTGGTCCCCAGACATAAGGTGCTAGCAGCCCCCTCCCCTAGGCATCGTGACAGTCACACAGCTCTGAATAGCTTCTTGTTTTGCTGTTGATGAAAAAATAGTCCCAGAGGAAAATGAAAAGTTTTGTTGAAATGTCCAACAGCGAAATGGTAGCAAAACTTAGTTCAGCTGCTCATTCTTTGCTCCCTGCCCACTGCCTTCCATTAATACATGCTGAAACCTTCTACCCAAGCCTCCTTTCTGTCGCCAGTCATTTCTTCTCCTCCTGCCTGCTTCTCCTAAGATGAAACTGGAATTCCTGGACTTAAATTCCCACTTCTCCTGGGGTTCCCCGTCTGGTTTCTGTAACCAAGACCCTCGTAGGTGAGTTTGCTTCATAACCTTGGGATTCTTTCTCTCCTAGCCATTTGTCTCAGCTTTGATGTCTCGCTTCTCATTGGTTTTTCCTACAAAGGAAAGCAAATTCAATTTCTGCCTTTTATTTTTCCTCTAGCATTTCACTATGAAAAATTTCAAACATACAGAAAAGTTTAAAAAATAGTTCCTTGAACACCCATATACTTAACCATATAGCTTCAGTACTTGTTAATATTTGGTCCTGATTGATCTGAGCATTTAGTTGCAGATAGGCCTGGTCTCATGAGTAGAATGCTCCCCCTGCTTCCTCGGGCCTCAGTTTCCCTCCTAAATGGTTCCCCCATTGCCAGAACTCTGAGGTCTTGAAGAGTTGCTACCACATTTACTCAGAGTGGGGGTGTTGCTCCCTCCTGACTCCTGTCCCCAGGACTTGCAAAGTGAGGTGAGTGTGGAGGGTGGGGGGCAGTAGGTAAAGCTGGGGGATTAGGCCCATTCTTTCTTTGGTTCCTGTTCATAGTTCCTCTGACAACTCCTTAGAGACTGCGCAACAGCTTTGGTATACAAAGTGGGGTGAATGAGGCCTCACCCTCCCAGGGGTCCTCCCCAGACCCAACCCAAGTAGAGTCCGTGTTGGGGCCTGAGCTGGCTGGTGGGGAGCATGATCTTGGTTCTTGTTTCAACTGCTCTGGGCCCTCAGGGCACTGAGCCCTCCTTGGCTGCTGTCAAGAGGGATTAGGATCTCTACTGGGAAGAGGAAGAGGGTGGATACCAGCAGGGGAGAAGAGACTGAGAAGGCCTACGGGTGGGGGCGGGGGAGCAGTGGGGTGCAGGAGCCTCTGTGCACTCTGGCCTCAGTTACCCAGTTAACCTGTGTGACCGCTTAAGGCTTTGGTGGTTGTGTGCATGTACGGAGTTGGTGTGGGTAGGAGGGGACTTGAAAGCTCTGAGGAAAGGGTTCCCCTTACCCCACCAAAGATGTAGAACATTCCTGTTGTGTAGAGAGATGCTGGGAAGACGGCTGCTCCCAGAGTAACTAGGAGTGGGTGTCTGTCCTGGGGAACCAGTGACAGTTTTGGGAGCCCCTAATTGGTGGTGAGGGCTGGGATGAAAGTTCATTTCCTTCTTTGTGATTGGCAGATCTAATCGATGGTAGCTTTGAGGTGGCTGTTAAAGTTTAGGGAGCACTAATATGCTAGCATGTTCCAATGCAACCCTCATTTCCAGCATTAGGAAAGGCAGAAATGTGTGTAATCCCCTATTGGGTGTCAGGCTCCATGCTAAGCACTTGACCCTCCCTTCACTGGGCCTCCTCACCCATTTATGGAGATGCAGGTCGTAGTATCCCTATTTTACAGAGGTTTAAAGAAATGTAAGTTGTGGGGCCTCCCTGGTGGTGCAAGGGATTAAGTCTCAGCTCTATGAAGCAATCCACAGCCACTGCAGCGCGAGTTTAATCCCCGGCCAGGGAGCTACCCACATGGCACAGCAGACCTCCTGTCTCCCTGCTGCTCCCCTCAGCATTGTATTTCAGTGGATCTGCCTGTTCTGCTCCCCACTCTGTCTCTGGTGAATCTTCTCACCTCCCTGCACCTCTAGCCTATACCCCAGTTCTCATATGCATAAATTAAAAAAAAAAAAGTGCAGGTCACTTGTTGATGGTAGGTAGCTAGTGTGTAAGGGCAGTTATGGTTTGAACCCAGGTCTGTTTGCTTCTCTTTCAAACTTAAGAGCCATCTGAGACATAGATCGAGGGACCAACATGAAGATTCTAGCAATTCAGACTGTAGGAAGTAAACTGCCCATCTCCTCTGTGTTCCTCTAAGGAGGGTAGGAGTGAACTCAGATTTAAGAGTCAGTCTATCAGGCTGGCTGCCCCCCTTGTGTAAATGTTCCCAGGAGGCTCCCTGGGGCAGGGAGTCAGAGTGGATCAGGGATGACCCGGGCCAGTTGGTGTGGCTTCCTCCCCAGGGTGAGCGGTTCTCTTGCATAGGCACCAAGTCTTCCAGGCTGTCGCAGTCTGCGCAGGCTTCTCTGCAGGATGGAAGTGGGTTTTAGAGTCCCATTTTAATGCATTTCTTCCTCTTGCATAGGGGCAAACTCCTGCCCGAGCCACAGATGAAACTACCGCAGCGGCCCTTGTCTGGGCTGAGGCAGAAGGAATGGCTGGGCGGGTTTTTCCCAAGGACCATGATCTGGAGCCGCTGTCTCTTGGCTCCGGAAGTGGAGAGCACTGTTTTCCTATGCTGAGGCCAGTTGGATAGAGTGGTCTAGGGCAGCTGTGGGGTCCCCCACCCAGTTCTGCAATGCTGGACGGAGAGGGTGGGCTCGGGCTGCTTAGACTGGGAGTGTAAGCTGATTCATGTGCGCCAGGCCACAGCCTGCTTGGCCGGTGGGGAGCGGTGGGGGGCGGGGAGCCCAGGTCAAAGAGAGGACACTCAGGACCTTGAGCAGAATTCGGACAGCGTGGGACTTCGTCCCCGCTAAGGCAGAAGACAGCCTGGCGGGGGATCTCTTCCTGATGAGAGGAAGTGTGGGAAGACCTGGACTAGGAGCCTGACTGCCAGACAGCAGAGCAGCCCGGCTGGTGTCAGATCGGGCCGTGGGAAGTAGAGCAGGGCGAACCCGGGGGTGAGTGTAGCCGGTGTCCCACACGCCTCTGGCTTCTCTTCTGGCTCCTACCCTGTGCCTCCAGCTCTCTTTGGAGAGGAGGTGGGGATGGGCTGGAGGTAGCAGGGCTTTGGGGAGCCAGGGCTGAGAAGGGGACCAGGTTCCCCTATTCCCACTCTCCGAAGGCTTCCACTCTGGTGCAGGCGAACATAATTCCTTTCTTGTTCAGGCAGGAGTGCCCTGTGGGATGGGAGCCCAACACCCCAGGGCTTTTCAGGGCTGAGCAGAGTCCCTGAGGAGCGTTTTCTCTAGGGCTAGAGGGCTGGGAGGGTAGAAGAAAGTCTGGTGGGACAGTTTGGCTAATTAAAAAGGGATTAAGGGATCCCAGGTGATGTTAAGGGTGGGGGAGAGAGGGGATGGGGTTGAGTCATCGTCCCATTATTGTCATGACAACTGATAAATAAATCCTCCCAGGTTGGGGGTTGCCACCCCATCATGCCCAGGCAGGACCATTGTGGGACTGGAGCGCCCGTCAGTCGTGCCCGCTCCCACCTCCATGCCCTTGCCCCAGCTTGACAGGACCACGAGGGCTGGGAACAGGAGGCCTGCCTTCCTGCCTTTCTTCTGCCTGCTCCCCTCGCATGTTAAATGCCAGAGTCAAGCTGGCCCTTCCGGGCTCCCAGCTCCCCTGACCACCTCCCTGGCCCAGCTCCGAACAGCCCTGCTCGAGCCAAGTAAAGCAGAACCCTTGAGAAATGACATCAGTCCCACCCCAGGCAGATTTGGCTTCGGAGCTGGTCCCCCCGCCCCAAACATCTGGAGATGGCACAGGCCTCTGCATCCTCCCTGTCCCCATTGCGGGCCGCCCCCGGAAAGTCATCAGGTTTCCTCTGGCCTGGCCCTGGCTCCCTGTCTCGGTGCTCGGGGGCGCTGGGGTGGGCCTCTCCCGGCAGGGAAGGGCAGGGTTATTCAGGGAGATGATGACATCACCCTGAGCCCCTTCGCCGGGGTGGCTGTCCTGTCCTCGCTGTCTCTCTAGTGGGCAGGTGGCTGCGGCAGACGAGGGGGAGGGGCGGGGGGGTTGGTGTCGTGGCCCTGTTGTTCCTGCCGCCACCTTCACTGCCCCTCCCAGTTCTCCCGGGCCTTCCTGCGACCAGGGCCGCCTTGTGCCTCCAGGCCCTTTCCCCTCCTGCCAGGCCTTTTTGTCAGACCCAGCAGACGGGTCCCAGACTCCCTGGGGTCCAGGTTTCCAGGACAGGAGTCAACCTGCCCCGTGGCGCTCACGGCTCTCCCCCGCAGCTGCTGGAGTACTTGGGCAAGGGCAAGAGCATTGTCGACGTGGGGCTGGCTCAGGCCCGGCGCCCGCTCAGCACCCGGAGCCACTACTTCGAGGTGGAGATCGTGGACCCTGGAGAGAAATGCTACATCGCCTTGGGACTGGCCCGGAAGGTGCTGGCTTTTCCGCTGCGGGGCTCCACTCTGGGCTCTCGGGGTGGGGCGGGAGCTCTTGGAGGAATTGGGGCGAACTGTGGAGCGTTAACTGTCTCAGGTTAATTATCTTCTCGCGAGACAGACAGGCGAGGGGCTCTGCCGTGTAGGCGTGTAGACCCCACGTGACCCAGGACTTGTGAGAGTGTCACGTCTGTACCCCACACGCTCAGGCTGGTGGGGCTGCGGCAGCCTGCGGCCCTGCCCGCGAAAGCCAGGTTGTGCTTCCCCTGCAACCTTTTAAGTGCCTGAAGGCTCTCAGGCTGTGGAGGTGAGCAGCCATGTGTGTGGTAGCCTGTTCCAGAAAATTAAAGGCTCAGATGCCACTCTCCCTTTCTGTGTGTGGTACTATAGATTTTCTTCTGTCTTCTTGGTACAGGATTATCCCAAGAACAGGCACCCAGGATGGAGCAGAGGGTCTGTGGCTTATCACGCAGGTGAATTGGGCTGGCTTGGGGACGCTGGGATTGCGGGGGGTGCAGACACAGGGATGGCCCATCTTCCTGCTGTCCTTACCAGTGGCCCCTCCTCCAGCAGCTGGCTGCAGAGACGCCCCTGCTGCCAGACCTCCCCTCCCCAAGCCTCCAGTGCTTTCTCCTCATCTGTTTTTCCTCCTAGCCCTTAAAGCCAGGGGAGCAGAGCAGGGGTGGGGGGTCTGGACCAAGCTGGACATTCCAGGCCTCTGAGCTGCTTCCCTCTGCGCCCTTCCTGTGGATTCTGCATTTTCTTTTTTTGGTCAGCTTGATTTTTAGGACTTTCTTTAGAAAAATACAAGCTGTGAGTTCCTGACCCCGCTGCTGCCCTCTCCACACCCCCTCACCTTTGGACCATCTCCCTGAGGGAGTCTCCCACTAGCCTTTGGAGCTACCAGACATTGTCTGGTACCCTCTCCCCACTTCGGACCCTGCCCTTCCCGGGGGCTGCGGGGGCAGGGAATCATCCCCTGCGAGCGGGCACTGTCTGGGTGGGCATAGACTGCCAGTCCCTGTTTCTTCAAGGGCATGTCCTTTTGCCTTCCACAGATGACGGCAAGATCTTCCATGGCAGTGGCGTGGGGGACCCCTTCGGGCCGCGCTGTTATAAAGGGGACATTATGGGCTGTGGAATTATGTTTCCCCGGGACTACATTCTGGACAGCGAGGGTGAGTGGGGTGGGGGTGGCTTAGCAGGCTGGTTGGGCAGGGTGGGGGTGGATGCACAGGCGCTCAGGTCTCCTGGACTTCTAGGTGACAGTGATGACAGCTGTGACACAGTGATCCTGTCCCCGACCGCCCGAGCCGTCCGGAACGTCCGGAATGTCATGTACCTGCACCAGGAAGGGGAGGAGGAAGAGGAGGAAGAGGAAGAGGAAGAAGATGGGGAAGAGATAGAGCAGGAGCATGAGGGCAAGAAGGTGGTGGTGAGTAGGGGGAGGTGTGGGACTGGCCCATGTTCTTGTGCCTGGGCAAGGGCTAGTCCTAGCCTGGTATCCAGTGCCCCTGGGGCGGTGGAAGTTGCCTGGGGGCGCTGAGCTGGGGAGACTGGTTTCCAGCCTCAGGATGCCCTCTTGTGGTTGCTTCTAGCATCACCCTCAGTCTCCCCTTTCTGCCGGGCTGGGAGTTGGGAGTGATCAGGGTTCAGGCCTGTGTGGCCCTAGCCTCCCCTGAGCAGAGGCCAGAGCCACCTGTCCCACCTTCTCCCCCCTCCACCCCTAGGTTTTCTTCACTCGGAATGGCAAGATCATTGGCAAGAAGGATGCCGTGGTACCTTCTGGGGGTTTCTTCCCCACCATTGGGATGCTGAGCTGTGGGGAGAAAGTCAAAGTGGACCTGCATCCCCTGAGTGGCTAGGAGCTCCTCCCTCGCCTGCGCCTTCCCCCTGCTTACCCTGTGCAGGACCAGGTAGGCAGTGCGGGGACTTCCACGAGGATTGGCTTAGCAAGTGGCCCCTGGGGGTACATGGCCACTGCACCTACCAGATTAGGCCCTGCCAGGCTCCCCTGTGTCCATCTTTCTGACCTGGTGCTGCCCCATCATCAGTCCCTGGGCCTGAGCCCCTGGTGGGACAGGGCAGGCTCACAGACGGCTGTTGCTGTATTGGTGGGTCCCACCGGCTTGGGCTCTCGCATCCTCCTTTCCCCACCGGCCCTGGTGGGTGGCAAGGCGTGGGCGCCCTGTCTCAGCTGCTCTTTGGGCATGTGGCTTTGCAGAGGGTGGAGGATAGACGGCCCCTCCCGTTTACCACAGTGTTTCCCTTGCACTCTTCTGTTTCTGCTCCTGGTCCTTACCACGTGGCCCAGTTGCTGCTGTCATCTCCCCTGGCTGGGCTAGGGGACTCTTCTCATCGGCCGCCGGCCTACACAGACCCCTGTAGGGCCTCCACTCTTTCCCCGGAGTGCCGGCTTCCTCCCAGCTGTACATAGATGGGCTCCCGTTAGCTGTTTCATGGCACGACGGGGGGGCTATGGGGAGCACTGGGGCCCTTGCTCCTATCTCCACCTCCCATTCTCGGCTCACCTGTGGCACCCTTGTCCCTGGTTCTCTGGCATGCAGGCCGAGCTGGGAGCACGTCTCCTGCTGTGGTGAGGGCAGACCTCAGCTTGGCCCCTTTTCCTGTCCCACCCTGTCCCCATGTGCTGCCTGTGCCAGTTGCCTGTTTTGCTTCAGTGTTTGATTCTAGCACTTACATGTGTTTCTCCCCCAGACACCCCCATCTCTAGCCCCTTGACCTTCGGCCCCTACCCCTGCAGTGACTTCTCCTGGGAGGAAGCGGGAGCAGGAGCTGTGGGTTGGTTTGCACAGAGTGGGGAGGGATCGGGGGAGGTGGGTGAGTGGTTGTGCTGCTGGGGCCTCCCCTGGGCCCTCCCTTCAGGCCCTGCACTATGATGTATGAAATGTATGTACAGACCAGAGATGTTTATACAGCCAATAAAGACGGAGTTTCCGTATTTATCAGTACAGCCGGGACCGGGGAGTCCTTTCTAGTACCTCAGGATGGAAACAGGGCAGAAGATGGGGGCTGCGTGGTCACTGGGGGTATGACATCAAGGATGGGGGTCATGTTTGTTCCATGGACCTGGCCGTGGGCCTGGGCAGCCCCCAGGAAGCATGGGAGACGTGAGGCACTGGCCTTCCTCTGACCGCGGCGTAGCTCCAGCCTGACTAAAAGTTATAGAGATTCTTTATTATTAGACAAAAATAGACTCTTTTCCCCCCCTTTTCATGTGATTCCACTCTGGTCTTTTTGCTCAGAGGGGGAGGCAGAGGAGGAGTGCCTGCCCCTCACACCTCTCCCCTGTCCCTGCCATACTAGGACCTGCAGCTGGGCGCAGCTGGCAGGGCCTGTTCCCATCCAGGGCTGGTGTTCTCGCGCAGGCGGGGCTGTCCCGATCCCCTCCAGGGCTCAGCTGCTGGTGCCGCCTCACCCTTCACATGCCCATCTCTGCCATCTGCTCACGTGCGAGGTCATGTCCCGGGCCCGTCCACTTAGCTTAGCAGGCTGGGGGCAGGGAAGGGAGCAGCGCCCAGGTCAGTGCCCTCTCCGCATTCCTTAGGGAGCGGGCTGGCTCCGGGCCTCCTGGGTCCAGGCCAGGGGAAGTGAGGCTGTGGGGTGCTGGGAGAGGCGCAGTGTTGATGTGGGCTCTGAGCTGGTGGCCTTCCTTCATTTTCTCTGGCCCAGTAGAACTTTAGTGATGAAGGTGACAATGGCACCTGCAGGCTGATCTGGGTCAAGCTCTGCAAAGAGGTGACACACGTTCTCCCAGGGACTTCCCGGCTTCTTGGCCACGAAACCAAAAATCCTGGGGGCACAAAGCCAAGGGGGGGCGGGGGCTCAGCATCCCTTCCACAAGGGACTGCAAAGCCAGGCCTGGGGAGGACGGAGGCGCCTCATCCCTCGGAAGAGGGACTGCACTCCGTGGGGGGCTTACTTGGAGGTGGTCCCGTCGGGGTTGGTCCATCTGCAGAAGGAGAAGAACTGTGAGGAGTGCACCCAGAGAGGAGCTACCGAGGAGGAGGGGGGCTGCGGGAGAAAAGGGTTCAGAGGGAAGGTCACCTGCGGTCCTGCGGGTCCGTGCTGGAGAAGGTGATGCTGGTTACCGGATAATGGCGGCGAAAGAAAAGCCTGCAGGGGGAGGGTGAAGGTCAGCCAGGAATTGGGCCTCCGGGGCAAAGCCTGGGGCTCCCCAGAGGATGGGGGCACACACTCACTTCCTCTGATTGTCTGTCAGCGTGATGCCCTGGGCGGAGACCTTGAAGTGGACAACGGCCGGCGTGGGGCGGGGGCTGCAGCTCAGAGCCGCGGAGCTGGCCCGGGCCACGGCTTGGGGGCCGGTCAGTGACTCCGTCTCCACCGAGGTCAGGTAGAGCACACTGCAGGCTTGGAGGGCGAGAAGCGGGTCGGCGGTGAGCACCAGATCTGCCACCGCCCCCTCCCCACCAAGAGCTCCAACGCCCGCACCTTCCCCAGTCAGTGCTGCTCTCAAACACAGGCTCTCTGCCGCCCAGATCTGTAGTCGGGCATGCTGGGAAGAGGCCTGAGCGTCTGCGTTCTATCACGCCCCTCCCCCCGCAGCGATTCTCATGCTCACGTGACGTGAGAACCTGGACGGAAGATGGCCCTTCCGCCTCCTGCCCGCACACGCGGGCCTCGCCCTGCTTTCTCGGGTGGGCGCTCTCAGGGCCTTCCCGCGCCCCCAGCCGGTCTCGTCAGGGGCTCCCTTGGTGCCCAGGAAGGGAGAAGGGGAGGCGCCTACCAGCTCCCTGCCGCAGGAGGTCCGCCGCGGTGCTCATGTTGGTGGGTACCGGGGCCTCGGGGGTCTCCTCCAGAGGATCTGATAGACACGAGGGTCAGCGGGCCGCGCTGCTCCCCAGGAGCTGGAGAACCCCCTCTGCCGTCCCAGGGGAAGGCAGGCCGGGAGCCAGGACCTGGGGGTTGGCCGTGGGTTGTGGCTGAAGGGGAGAGGTCGGGAGACTCGTGACCAGACACCCACCTTTGCTGGGGATGCGCAGACAGCAGGGCAGGGACAGTGGGGAGATGGAGTGCTGGGAAACCAGGGCGGACAGGCTGCCTGCGGGGAGAGGGGGACGGGTCCCGAGATGCCCACAGGTCTCCCCGCTTTCCCGCCACCCTCCGAGACCGCCTGGCCTCCCTCAGCCAACCCAGGGGAGCCTCTCTGGCCCTGCTCACCGAAGTAGGGCTCGGTGGGACAGCCCTTGATCTTCACCCCTTTGGGCCCAGTCTCAATGAGAAAATGGCGGACCAGCTGCTCCAGGGGGTCCCCTGAGAGGCGAGAGGAAGGCTTTATCAGATCCCAGGTTCCTGCTTTCTCCCTGCCCGGATTCTTCCCAGCGCAGGAATAGCCACTTCCTGCCTCTCCCTGCCGAGGCGGAAAGGCCCCCCACCCCGTCTTGCCTTTGGTGCCTCCCTCCCCGCCTCTCCCCTTCTCCCCTAGGGCTGGGCACTCCCTACCTTTCCAGGGCTGAGCGCTGGGTGGGGGCGTCGCCACCTTGAGGGCCAGCCCGTAGGCTCCTTGGAATGAGTGACTGTCCCTGATCAGGAAGGCCCCGGGGTCCTTGTCCTTCAGCAGGGCGATGGCTGGCGGAGCGGAGACCGTCGCGGTGGCCGGCTGCTAACCAGCTCCCCAGACCTCCCACCCTGCCCACTTCGGGGTGCTGGGCCTCTGCGGGCGGAACTTCAGAGCCAGCAGGGCATCGGCAGCATCGGGCCCAGACTTCCTTGGGCCAAAGCCCAGCGTCAGCTGCTGGCGAGGGGCTGAGGCCGGAGCACGCCCGCCGGGCCCCGGGGGCAGCGCGGGCCTCGAGCTCGCCGGCTGCTCACCTTGGTCGCGGGACAGGTGCGGCTTGTACCAGAACTTGGACGTGTCCTGGACGAACTTGACGTTGCTCTGGCTCTCGGGCACCGGGGGCTCTAGGCCAGACGGGGACTGAGCTGGGGCCGCCGGCCCGCGCCCTGCCCCTCCCCGGGAGGACGGGTTCTCCCCAGGGGGCGCCGCCTCCTCTGGGGCCTTTATACCTGGGGCTGCGGGGGTGTGATCCCGGAGCAGGGGCGCGAAGGTGACGTGGTGACTGGTGCCTTTGCCTGGGGGGGACGCCTGCTCCGGAGCCCAGGCGCCGGGCTGCTGCCCCGCCACGTGGCGCTTCTCGGGCAGCGGGGGCTGGGCGGGGCCGCCGGCCTCATAGGCTGCGGCCAGGGGGAAGGCAGGCGTGGGCGAGCTCTGAGGGGGCTCCGGGCTGGCCACGAGCCAGGGCATCTGGGTGGGCACGGGGGTGAGGGGAGACCCATCCGGGCTGTCGGGGGGGTCTCGGAGACCCTGCCAGGGGCATGGCGGAGGCCAGGCAGCGTGGTGGGCACGGGGCCCCTGGGGCTGGTCCTGTCCGAGTGGCCTCCCGGGCTCCTGTCCTGAGGCCAGTCGTTGGGGGAGCCGGGAGAGGAGGTCGGGGAGAAGGGCCCTGGGGCCGGAGGCTCAAGCCCACTTCTTGCTGGCAGCTCGGAAGCCTTTGCGGCGCCTCCCTGGGACGCGGGCTGCACACAGGCTGCCTGGGAACCGGCGCCGCCCTGCGAAACAGGACTCCGTCGCTGGGCGGGCGCCGAGGTGGGGGACCTGGTGTCCTGTCGCCGGGTGCTGCGGGGCAGGGCAGGTCGTCAGAGCCCCGCTGTAAGCTGCCCCGGCCCTGCAGGGTCGGCCTCTGCTTGAACAGGAAGCACGCGCACCCCCGAGCTCTGCCTACCTCTCCTTGCCCTGCACGGGGCTGCTGGTGTGCAGGGGTGTGGAGGGACCAGACAGCTCGGAAGAGGCCCCGCACTGGGCATCTCGGGGAGACCGAGGCAGGGTGCTGTGCCGGCTGGGGCCCTCCCTCCAGGACGCTGGCTCGGGTGACTCTGCTGGGGATGGGAGAAGAGGGGGTGTGAGCCAGGACGATGCCCTCTGCTGGGTGAGTTCTTTCTCCCTGTGCCTCCTCCCCACGTTCTTCCAGAGCCCTCCTCTGCCCTGGGCCCTCCCCACCCCAGAGCCCCTCACCTGCTGATGCCAAGGGTCCCGCTGGGGCCAGGTGCCCGGGCAGTGGATACCTGTCCCCGCCTTCTTCTGCAGGGATCTCGTAGCTCAGCTTCCGGGACTGTGGGTAGGGTGGGCTGCCCGGGGAAATGGAGCCAGCCCGAGGGGAGTGGGCACCAGGGCTGGGGTATCCTCTGCCCTCGCCTGAAGACCCACAGTTGTGAGGCACCCGGCCATAGGCCGGGCAGTAACTGGGCACTGCTCCTCCATAGCTGTATGTCACCAGGGTGGGGTACCCGGGATGCCCATACCTGCCTTCGGGGCACATGGCATAGGGGTAGCCCTCGTGCCCTTCCTCGCCTGCCTTGGGAGGCTTCAGGCAGCTGTAGTCAGGCATGGGGGCGTGGTGATGCCCGCAGGCAGGCACCAGCAGGGGCAGGGCGTGCCCAGGCTGCACGGGGTGCAGGAGAGGCTTGCCAACCTCACTTGCCCATCCCTCTCCAGCCTCCCTCTCCAGCCGTAGCCCATACAGGGCTGCGGTGGGCAGTGCCAGCTTCTCCTCACAGGCGGGGCAGGGGCACACGGCAGGCAGCCCGGGGTCCTCCAGGATCACCACCTCCCGGTAGCTGGGGGCGCGGAAGCCGAAGTCCCCGTTGGCTGCTTTTCCCAGCTCGGCCGGGTATGGGTAGGGCCCCTCGGACAGGGACCGGCACAGGCGCCGCTTCTCCAGAGGGCCCTCGGCGTAGGCCTGGGGAGGGCCCTCGTAGCCCCCGTAGGCCAGCCGCCGCCTGTCCAGAGTGCCCTCGGGCCGGTAGAAGCCCCCGTTGGGGACGCCGCAGGCCTCCCGGTAGCCCTGGCGGCAGGAGCAGTGGCGGCTGAGGCCGGGTCGGTGGCCAGAGTACGTGGCGAGGTGGGGGCCTCCGCCCGCGGGGGGCTGCTCTTCATCATCCAGGATGGCCGTCTCGCGCCCAGCGCCCCGGCCCCCACTGGCCACGCCACAGCCGCCCAGCAGGCGATCGAGCTCCTGCCTTTCGGCAGCCGTCGGGGGCGGCCGGCCAGGGGACTCGGCAGCCGGCTCCGTGGTCAGCATGGAGGAATGGCCGGAGTCGCTGCTGACGGACAGCATCGGGGGTGGGGGCGGCTCTGGAGACGGTGCTGGTGGGGTCTGGCGGGGGGCGCGCTGCACCTGGGCATAGGGGCTGCCATCCAGGGGGCCCCGGGTGTGTGTCAGGGAGCCTGAGTGGGGAGTGGGTCAGGGAGGGAGAGAGAGAGAGAGTCAGTCACGGGGGACAGCGCTCGAGACTTCAGCTCAGGGGGTCTGTTGGGTGGGGATCTGCCCGGGAGGAGGGCGCGTGTCCCCCAAACGTGCACCGCCCACCACCCCTGCCCCACGCACCGTCCACGCTGTCCTCGTGGTGCTGGTTGAAGTTCTCGTAGGAATCCCAGCGCACGGCGGGCTCCGCGGTGTTGTAGTCCACAGACACCGAGGGGTCATTCCGCGGGGTGCTGCCTGCAGAAAGGACGCCAGGTGTCAGGGAGCAGGGAGGGGCGGCCTTCAGCCCACGCCCCAAGGCCCTGCTGTTACCTTTGATCTTCTCGGGGCTGGAGGAGAAGACAAACTCCACCGAGGCTTGGAAGGGGAACCGCTGGTCTGTGGGAAGTGGACAGTGAGGAGCCTGTTCCCGCCCCCCGCCTGCCTTCCCCTGGGCCGCAGCTCCCAAGCCACTGGTCACCCACTCACCAGCCCAGGCCTCATCCAGCTGGTCCTTGGGGAAGGTGAGCCGTGGCCCGTGGATGGTGCACGTGTGGAACTGGACTCGGAATACAAGGGTCCGGTCTGTCCTCCGGCCCCCCTTGTGGTAGCACGTCACCTGGAGGGTGGGAGGCTGGGGGTCAAGAGCTCATGCTCACGCACCTCTGTGCTTCCGCCCTGGGGACTGCTTCCACCGCAAGCGACCTCTCCACCTAGGGGTCTCCTTTTCACCCGCCAACGGACAGTCAGCTGGCAGGATGCACGCCAGCACCCGCTCCATCCCCGCGGCTGTCCCTGTTGCTGGGGCCAGCTCACCATGACATCGCCCTTGAGGAGGAGGGCTGGCTCCAGGCTGATGCAAAGCTGCTGGGGGCCGGGGCCTGCAATGTGACTGCGAAGAGAGCAGACTGGTCAGAGGCGCTCGGGTCCGGAGCGGCCAGGAACAGCCGGGAGGGAAGGGCGCCATCAGGTCTGGGAGTCCTGCAGGATGGACCTTTTGGCTGGAGAAACAGGACTCCAGGCCGTGGAGGTGTCAGGGGCCTGGGAAGAGAGACTCACTAGATTCCGGATGTGTAGACAAGCTGCATGGACTGGTAGATCTTGAGGAAGGGCTGGAAGCCTGGCAGGGCGAGAAGGCGCATGAGGAGTGCTGAGTGGAGGAGGGTGGGTGGCCGCTGGTCCTCACATGGAGAGCAGACTCACCTGTGCCAGGTTCAAAGGCTGGCAGCACGGGCACCAGCACATAGTGCAGGAAGAGAGGACTGCTGTTCATTCTGATGGAGCCGGACAGCAGACCACTGAAGTAGCTGACGTATCTGGAGGGGGATAAGCATAAGCCCCTTGCTCTAGAGGTCCCCTTGGGTCATTGTCTGTGTACACCCCACCCACCCCCAGAAAGCCTGCTCTTCTCAGCATTTCCCTCTCATGTCCCAGCTCACCAGAGAGTCCTTCCTTGCAGCTAACCTCAACCCGTGCTAGCTCAAGGTGGGACTTGTTTCTCCTCTGCTGGAATGCTCTTCCCAGAGCTCATGCTACAGAGGTGCCCCGGCTGCGCTGCCAGTCTCTATCACAAGACTTAGTTTTATTCATAGCCTTTTCCACGATCTAAAATGATCTTGTCTATTTATTCACAGGCATTTTGCCTCTACGCCACCAGAACATTAGCTCCAAGAGGGCAGGGACCTTGTTGGTTCTGAATTCTTGGCACCTGGCACCGCGTCTGGCCCCAGCAGGTGCGCTGCATGAATGCCTCTTGGCCTTGGGAGCCAAGGAGGGACAGAGCTGCTCCTCTGGCTCATCCCCACCCGGGCTGCTCACCGGCGCTGGGAAGGCTGCAGTTCCGAGGCCACCTTGTCCTCGCAGAACTTCCGCATGGTGAGAGTAGCCAGCGCCTGGTCGGCCCTGAGGAGAGCAGGGCCAGTGCAGAGCATTAGGGTGGCTGTCTAGCCCCATCTCCCACCCCTAAGCCCCAGGGGAGAAAGGAGGGGGGCAAAGCCCTCAAGTCTAGAGGAAACCCGGAATGGGGGTAAGGAGAACTAGAAGCCCCACATACAGTCACTTTATTAGCTGTTGGGCCTCAGGTAATTGTTCCCTGAACTTTAGTTTCCTCATCTGTAAAATGGGGTAATAAGACCATGTTAAGGCTTGACTTGTGTCCTCCCAAAAAGATATGTACCTCAGAATGTGACCTTATTTGGAAATAGGGTCGCTGCAGATGTAATTAGGGAAGATGTCCTACTGGAGGAGAGTGAGCCCTTAATCCAGTGACTGGTGTCCTTAGAAGAAGAGAAGAGACAGACACACACAGGAAGAAGGTCACGTGAGGACGGAGGCAGAGGCTGGAGTGCTGCGTCTGCAGCCAAGGACACCAGGATCGCTGGCCTCCACCGAAACCAGAGAGAGGCGAAGAAAGTGTCTACTCGGTCTCGGAGGGAGCGCGGCCCTGCTGGCGCCTCGATGTTAGACTTGCCAGTCTCCAGAGCCGAGACAATACATTTCTGTCGTCCCAACTCTCCTCTTTCATTGCAACTCTAAGAAGCTAATACAGACCGTGTGCCGGGAACAGGTGAAGGACAGGTGAGAGGAAGCAGGAGGAAAGGCCCCGTTGACAGTAAACTGCTCTAGGAGCACGGAGGAGACGGGCTCATGAATGGTCGCTGCAGGAAGGGCCATCGGGGCCGGGGTGAAGCGGGTCAGGGAAGCTCACCCTGCAGAGATCTTGCTGTAGTGCATGTAGGCAGAGATGATGACGCCAAACTTGCCTTTGCTCCCCTGAGGATATACACGGACAGGGAGGGGTGACGCGGACATAGACCAGGGTGGCTGGCCAGGGCCCGGCCCCGAGGGCACTCCTGCCCCCCCACCCCGCGGCCCCGCCCACCTTGCAGTACAGCACCACCACGTGCTGCGGGTCGGCACTGAGCCACGTCTCCATGGCTTTGCAGATGGAGCACAGCTTGTCCAGGGGGGGTGCGTGCAGCTCAGGCCACCCGAAGTCCTGGACCTGGTGGGGAGCGGGGGAGAACCGCGGGTGAAGAGATGGGTGGGGGTGGCAAAGGGACAGGGTGTCAAGGTCTGGGGTGCAAGGCCGGGGGCTGGTTGGCGTCCGTGAGGGCAGCGACACTTCTCGCCCACAGTGGGTTGATGCCAAGCTGCACCACCCTTTGGGTGTCTCAGGAACAGGACATTCGCGAAAACGCTTAAGAAGGACACGGATTCCGACCGCTGCTACTAAATGAGGAGGCCGTGGGCTCTGCGGGGGTGGTCCAGGGTAATGGCTTCCATCCCCTCCTACCTTGGGGTTCAGGCGGGTCAGGTCGTGTCTTTTCTCTGAAAGGTTGAAGAGCTGCAAGTAAAGGGGACCCTTAGAGGGAAGTGCCCGCCGGCACGGAGGCTGGTGGTGGGTGCGGGTGCTGCCCCCGCCGTGACCCACAGTGACAGCATCTCCGGCCGGGGCTGTTGCTGAGGCGGCCCCGCGTCCAGGCCCGCGCTCCAGGCCGGGGGCGCCCGAGCCCCCCCCCCCCCCCCCCCCCCCCGCCCGCGGCCGGCCGGGCCGCCTCACCAGGTACTTGTCGCGGTGCTTGCTCTGCAGCACGTGCGCCAGCTCCCGCAGGTGGCCGCGGTGGCGCTGCTCGTCGGGGCGCGCGGGGAAGGCGGCGGCCAGGATGCGCTCGGTCACGTAGGTGAGGTCCAGGTCCCAGCGCCGCTCCATGAGCGGGTCCAGGCTGAAGCTCCTGCGGGGCGCGGGCGCGGGCCGGCCTGAGGCTCCGGGGGGCGCGGGGGGGGGGGGGCGCAGGCGGGGGCGTGTTGGGGGCAGGGAGGTGGGGGGTGTGTGGGGCGCCCGCAAATGAGGCCCGTGCGCCCAGGGTGGCTGGGGCCGCCTGAGGGGCTCCCCGGGGGTCAGAGCCCAGCCGAGGGGCCGGGCCCGCGGAAAGGGCTGCGGGGCACCGGCAGGCCCTACCTGGGCAGAGTGCTGCGCTGCTTCGCGTGGTTCAGGGACTTGGTGGAGCCCTGGCAGGTGAGACACGCGGGCGGCTGTCCTGGGGTGTCCCTCCCTCGCGGCTTTCCTCCCTCCGCCCCCCCCCCCAGAGGACGGAGCACCGCGCCCCCCTCGGCTCCATCAGCTTCTGGGAGCAGAGGCAGGTGGGTCCTTAGCCCCGAAGCCCAGAGCCAGGGGCTCCCGCCGCTGCCCATCGCCTCACCAGGTGCTCTATGCGCCGCACAGGGGCCGTGCTTCTCCGCTGGAGGGAGGCGGGAAGGGGTGGTCAGGGCCGGGCAGGGCCCAGCGCGGGCCCCAGTAGCAGGGAGGGCAGGCCAGTGTCCCTGCGGAGCTGCTTCAGGCCAGGGCTGGGGTCCCAGCTCCCCGCAGGCCAGAGGCCCGGAGGGCAGGCTGCTCAGGCACCCCCACACCCCCTCGGGGTGGCCCGTCCCCACAGCAGCCGGGGGGACTGCGGGGGGCTCTCTCCGTCCAGGCCTCTGGACGCTGCAGCCAGTTCCTGGCCTCCCCCGCCCGTCCCCACCCGTCCCGGGCTCACCAGCTCCGGAGGAGGCACGGCCTGGCAGGATGAAGTCACCTGCAAGGAAACCCCAGCGAGGGGCTGAGCTCCCGGAGCAACGGGCTCTCCTGGGTTTGAGGATGGGGCCACCCCTCAGCTCCGGCAAGAAGGTGGAGGGGTCGTCAGCAGATGGGAGCAGGCTCCAGCTGAGGTACCTCTATTTAAGGGCGCCTTTCCTGCGGCCTCTTGGTCCCCCACCCCCAGGTCCCCAGTTGTTGCTCTTGGCTCCCCGCCCCCTGCCCACACAGACCCCCATTCATCCAGCTGCAGGGCAGGAGTTATATATAGAGCCGCGCAGGCAGGCCACGGCCAGGGTCGGACACTGGCCTCTTTCACCGGAGACCCCGCCCCTGGGCACACAGCTCCCCCTAAGTCAGCCCCCGGGTGCTGGGACCCCCCGTACTGCAGGAGGACCAGGGAACCGCCCCCAAGATGGGGCTGCCCACCCCAGTGGACGGTGGGTACCAGCTACAGACGTACCTTCTGTCTAGCCTGCCCGGGGCCTAGACCCACCCGGGCATCCCGAGGACCCTTCCCCAGAGGGAAGGCACAGCCCATCCGGCTGCCCAATCTCTGAGATCCTGCTCCCCCACCCTCCCACCCCACCCTTCCTCCTCCCCATTTTGCCCCCCCCCCTCTCGCCAGCTGCAGCCTGGGCACAGCACCAAGACAAACGCTGTCCACCGGCCTGGGCCAGCCCCCAGGGGGTGGAGTAGGGCGGTTCTTAAAGGGCCCAGGACAGCACCCTCTCCCAGCCCAGCCGGGTGCCCCCTGGCGAGAGGGTGGAGAGAGGAGGAGGTTTCAGAGGAAGGGGCCCCCGTCCCCCCCAAGTACCCACCTTGGCTTCACATTTTCTGTGGGTTGCCACCTTGCAGACTGGAGGGCGGGAGAGGGGAAGAGCGGGGTCAGCAGGAGGCTCGGGGACAGTGGGAGGGACGGGCCTCCCAAGCCCCGGAACTTGGCCCCGGGACTCCCAGGACTGCAGCTGCCCTGGGCTGGCTGAGGGGCCAAGGGGAGAGAACGGCAGTGGGGTGCGCGGGCCGGGAGGGGGCCGGGGACAATGTCCTAGGGTGGCTGGGGTGGGGGGCCGAGGGGGAGGAGAGGGAAGCCCCCAGTCAGGGCGGGGAGGTCCTAAGAGCAGTAGATCTGGGCTGCCGGGGGCGTCTGGCCTGGGGAGCGAGGGCTGTTTGCAGAGAAGGCAGAGGCCTGGCCAGGCCGGGGCCGCGTGCACGACGTGACTGCTGCTCCGCGAGCCGGCCGCGCGGTCCAGGCGGCGCCTCACCTCTGCATGAGACGCCCGTCCCGTCGACGGTCACCTTACACACGGCGCACACGGGCGGCTTCTTCCGGAAAACCTTCTCCCGGAAGCTGTGCGGCTCCGCTCGCCGGGGCTGGGGTGGCGGGACAGAGGGGCAGAGGCAGCAGGGATTGCGCCTGGGCTCAGCCCCGCGCGGGGTTCTTCCTCCCTCCGTCCCCATTCGGCCCCCGCACTTGTAAGGCGCCCTTGGCCACAGCTGTTTCCGGGCAGTTGTGGGGCCGCAGGTCCTCTACGGTGCATGGAATCTGGCCCCTTGCGTCACCCTAGCTGGGTCAGCTCCTCCCCAGGGGATCGCTTGCACCCCTCCTGTGGCCCTTGTGGTCACTACCACCCCAACTATAGAACTTTCCTTCTGGGAGGGGCTGCGCGCTGAGGGTCCCCTGCATCTCCTCCCATCTTGCTCTCCCCATGGAGGCCCCTGGGGGGGAGGGCACAGGCGGGAAGGTAGGTGGCAGGCACGCAGAGCCAGTCCAGACCGACCCAGCAGGGGTGGCCTCTGCCAGTCCGGCTCCCCTGGCTGCTGCTACCCCACGCTTTAGGCAGCTGACATGCCCTCCTCCCCCGACTGTCAGAACAACATGTTTACTCATTGTGCATTGAGGCGGCAGGCGGGCAGGCAGCGGGCAGCGGGCAGGCAGCAGGCAGGCTGTGTGTGGGGGGGGTTGCCGAGGAGAGGCAGACAGAGGCATGGCCCTGGGGAAACGTAGCTGCCTTGCTGCTCCTGGGTGTGGTGACACCCCATCACCTGAGGAGCTTCAGGTGGGATCAGCATGGGATAAAGGTGGGGGAGGACCAGATGCTCTGTGGGGTCCCTCCCTGCCCAGGGTGCAGTGAGGCGGGAGGCGGGAATGCCCCCTTAGGGCCCAGGCCTACCTCAGCCCCATCCCTCCACTGTGGGTTCACACCTCCCATCCTGTGGGGACCACTTGCTGCCATGCTTCCTTTTCTACCTCTCTCCTGTGGAGGTCAAGTTCAGCCCCCCACCCGCCACCCCCCCCCCAACAATATTGTCTCGTGTCATCCTGAGCTGTTTCTGGGATAAAGCTGAGAAAATGTGGGGAAAGGAGTGATGGAGCCTTTAGGCCCCCCAGCCTGGAGGACCCCAGGCATCACCTCTGGTCTCTTGGCTGTTCCTGAAGCACCTGGATGAAACCCAACCTGAACTCTTCTGGGCTGGGCCAGCCCTGCCTGCCGCTCTAGGAAAGTCGGGTGCATTTTGGCCTTGACAGCGTACACAGATGATGTCAGCAGAAACCACAGCCCCAGGAGGAAAGCGCTCCTGAGACCTAGCTCCCCCCCTTCCTTTCCTCACCCCTACCGCACTACCCCCAAATTCTCTGCCCAGGGAAGGGGTGTGATCTCTCAGCCCTAGCTCTAGGATACTACCTGCAATGAATTACATCTCGCCACAGGTTTGGGGGTACCAGGACTCCGAGGACTGCCCCAGGCAGGGGAGGTGAGAGAGGAACTAAAAGGGACACCAGGTTCTGCTGCTCATGTCGCAGAGCTGACCACCCCAAAAGGGCAGAGTAAAGAGGGGGTGCATGCCAAAGGGAGAAGGCTGGGGCTCTGAAACTAGGAAGAGGGTCCAGCCTGAATCCTGCCCCCCCCAACACCTCCACCCCTGCCCCTCCTCTGCCCACCCAGTAGGCACTCCTACCCTGCTGGTGGCCCGGCTGCTGTCCCTCCTCCCCAGAGCTCTGAGCAGCCTCTCCACCGGGCCGCTGGACTTCATGGTGTCTAGCTGGCTGGGGTGTCGGCCGAGGGGCCCGAACAATGCTGGGGCCTGGCCCGGGGCTTCCTGGAAGCAGCCTGGCGGAGGCAGCCGCTTCCCCTGGGTGGAGGGTGGGCTGTCTGGCTGGTGCGAGGAGAAGCCCGGCCCTGGAAGTGAGGGGAGTGCAGGCGGGAAGGGGGCAGGTCGCTGCTCCAGGAAGTGGGGGTGGGGGAGGATGTGGGGGCGGCCAGGAGATCAGATTCCCAGGATCTACCCTGCTGGGAGTGTCCGTTTTGGATCTCTTGCCTCCCACCTACCCTCTGGAGCTGCCCCCTGCCCCGGGATCCACCCTATCCAGGGATCTTCGGGATTCCCAGGGCCAGCCCCTGGCGGGGCGGGGCCGGGGCAGGGTGGGAATTTGGGTCTCAGGGCTGGGCCCAAGGGCCTGCAGGGAACACGGTGTTCAGCCGGGCCAGCCACCCAGCCAGAACTCAGCTCTCTGGGGACTTCCGGTGGGGAGGGAGGGGAGCTGGGACTCGCGAGCCCTGCCCAGCACGGCCAGCCGGGATCGGAGTGCATCCTGCGGGTCAGGGGAACTGGGCCTGAGGGCCACCTTCCCGCCTCATTCTCACTGGCTGAGACTAGGAAAAGGAAGACACGCACGGCCCCTTCCCCCCCAGACGGGAAGGCCACATCCCAGTCAGAGGGCTGCTGTGCCCGCAGGAGTGAGTCATCCTCTTGCTCCAGTGCCGGGCGTCTCAGGCCCTTCTCCCGAGAGCCCCCCCCCAGCTGCTCGCTCTGGACAGTCCCCCACTCACCCACCCCCTGGCTGTGTGGGCTGCCCATCTCAGGTCCTTGGCTCCACCCCAGTGCCAGGGCCGGGGCACACCCCCTACCCCCCGAAGCCTGAGTACTACCTTCATGGCTCTCCTTGCACAGCCGCTGTCCCAGGGCTGGGGGACTGGACAGGAGGCCTCCTCCCAACAGACACTCCACCCCTCTCCACAGGCCTCCTGCCTTCCTCCTGGGAAGGCGGCCAATTTCCTGTCCCAGGAGGCAAGGGGAGGAGGTGGATTGGGACCTTGGGAAAGGGAGGGGGGTAATCTTCCCAAAATATTAGGGGTTAATAGATGGCCTGGGGTCCTTAGCCCAAGCCTTGGAGAGCAGCCCCTTCCGCTGGCCACAGCTGCCACTCCAGAGAACATGCAAATGTGCCCCCCGTGGTATTCCCTGAATGTATGGCATTTACTGCGTGTTCACCTCGGCATGGAATTTACTGAATGGCCCGGAGCTCAGGCAGCACCCCAGCGCTAGCTCCTGCCGCCAGGGCCTTAGACGTCCCTTCTCCCTCCTTCGTGCCCACTGGGCTGATCTGTCCTGCCTTTCCTGGGATGGGACCCCGTCTGGGAAGCCCTTCGGGACACTTCCCTGGACCGCCCTGTGCTGGGCCTGGCCTGGAGCTTCTCGGCGAGGCTCTGGTTGTCCTAGGTCAGGAAGCCTGTCCCCAGGGTGTCTTGATGGCAGGGAGGCATCTGTGGGGCCAGGCCTGGCCTGTAACTAGAGCGGGGTACTGGCTCCGCAACCCACTCCCACCCCAGCCCTGGCTGGGTCCCAGGACATTCCAGGCTCTTGGCCAGTGTGGGCCACTGGGTCTGGCCTGGTTGGTCCCTAGCCCAGCTGGCTGCGCCTGCTGCCCACACCCTGACCAGGACCCCCCAGCAGTTTGCTCTCCCTTCTTCTGCCTCTCACTGGGCCGTCGCCCTCACCTGGAACAGGTTCCCCCGGTATCACAGGACACTTGCTCCTCATCTCTGGGGAGCGCACTAGCCCTGTGGGGCGCCCCATGGGCACCTCCGAGGAGGATGGAGGTGGGAGCCAGCGGGCTCTGCAGGGGGAGCTGAGAGGAAAAGCAGCTACGGGGTGGACGGAGCCCCCCGGGGCCCTTGCCGTCCTCCTGCGGGGCCTTCCCTGGCCGGCCTGCTCTGCCCCTGCCCGGCCCTCCCGCGCAGAAGCCGCGGGTTTGTTTGCAGACCCCCCTTCCTGGAAATAGCTGCGGTTGGGTGAGAGGCCGGCGCGGGCCGGCGGCGGAGGAGGGGTGAGGCCCGGGAAGGGGGGTGCCACGGTGTGCCCAGGGGATGGCGGGGAGCGGCGGAGGAGGCCGATGAGCGGGGCTGGACGGTCACGCCTGCCGGTGCCCTCAGCCTCGCCCTCCGCGGCGCTGCCGGGCCGGGCCGGGGCGCCCGCGCGCTCTCGGGGCCAGGCCAGGCCGGGGCCCGCCAGGCTCGCGCGGGGAGCGGGGGCGGCGCGCCTCGTGCCGGCGGGACGGAGCGGCGCCCCGAGCCCGAGAGGGCGTGACCGCCCGCCGGGGTGTCCCCCCTCGCCCCCGCCCCCGTGCCGGCCTCCAGGGCCCCCCGCGGCCGGCCCCGGCCCCCGCGCCCGCTCGGGGTGCCCGCGGCCCCCCGCGCCCCCGCGCCCCTGGCGCTCGCCCCCGGCCCCGCCCGCCCGGCGTGACGCAGAGGCCGCCGCGCGGCCACTCACCTGCGGGGGGCGCCCCGCGGGGCGGGGCGCGCCGGGGCGGGGCAGCAGCAGGGGGAGCCCCCGGGCCAGCCCATCGCGCTCGGGCCCGCGCGGGGACGCGGCGGAGGCGGCCGGGCCTGAGGCTCCCTCCCCCGCGCGCCCCGCGCCCGCCCCTCCGCGCGCGCCGCCCGCCCCGCGCCAATCCCCGCGCCGCAGCCGCTCCCCGCCCCGCCGGCCCCGCGCCCCCGCCCCCCCGAGCCCACGCGCACAAAGGGCCTCGGGGAGGCCGCGGCGCGGGCCGCGGAGACGCGCCGGGCCGGGCCGGGCCGGGCCCGAGGCGGCGGGGCGCGGGGCGGGGGCGCGGGCGGGGGCGCGGGCCCGGCGAGGCTCACGCGAGCCGCACGGCCGCAGAAGCAAAGGTGGACGCGGACCCAGAAGGCGGCAGGAGGAAACAGAACCCCCGCGGCCGCGCGGCCCCGCTGCTCCGGAGTGGGGGGCTTGGGCCTGACCCCGACGCCAGGACCCCTGCGGCCCGGCCTGGCGAGGCGAGCGCCGCCCGTCCACGCGCGAGCCCCGTCGCCGGACGCCCTCGCCTGCCCCCCGCCCGCAGGAGGCGCCCGCTCGCCCTCGGAGGACGGGTCGCGCGGACCGCCGTCGAGTCCAGCCCCCCCGCCCCCCGCGGCGCCAGCCACGGCCGGCACCCCGAGGCCGGCACCCCGAGGCCGGCACCCCGAGGCGGTCACTGCCGCTTCCAGGAGCCCTGCCGGGAGAGGCTTCCTCGCATTGAACTCAGGCCCCGGGGTCCCAGCGGGGCTGGAAGTTCACTCTGCGGCCTAAGCCCAGTCCGCTTTGCAGTGTCTGGACCTGGGGCCTGGCGGGGGCTGCTTGCCTCGTGCCCCCCGAGGGAAGGCAGGGGGGGGCGAAGGCCGGGGCGCCTTTCTAACCTCTGCGGGTCTGCCCCCCCTGCCCCGGCCTTGGCGGCGAGCACTCCTGCACCTCTCCCCCGCCCTCCCCACGGGGCTTTCCATGATGCAATCTGCGGGGGAGGGAGGGGGTGTGTTCCGAGGCGCCAGTGCCCGGGGCGCAGCGCCCAAAGCCTGCTCGCGTCAGCGCTACTCCTGAGAGGGCTGGGAGGCCCGTCCCTCCCTGTCCGGTGTCCCGCTTGTGTGTCCTTCTGTGCGCATCTTGCCTTTGGCAAAGGCTGGGAGTCTGGTTCTGAGGATGAGGGGGCGGAGCACCTGACTCCAATCTGGAGGCCAGGAGGAGGCTGTGAAGCAGCCCTGGTGACAATGTGGGTCCCCCGGAGGCTGGCTTTTGGGAGGGCGGGTGTGGCTGGACTTGGGAGCCTTGATTTTAACTGCTTTTGGCCCAGCTGATGTCAAGCAGACAGACTCAGAGCTGAGAGCAGCAGGGGCGCTGGGGCTGGGGGGGGGGGCGGGAGGGGGTGGGCAGATGCCCGCGTTGGGTTGGAGGCTGCCAGGGCAAGGCTGAAAATCAGTCAGTGTATTTTGGCAAAATTTGATTGTGCAGTTGAGATACGCGAGTTATAAACATTTGCTCATTTCTGTGGAGCCTCCTGCTATCTCTTTAACGTCTTCCCCTTCCCAGAATCCATTAGGGGTCTGGTAGGTCTGGGCTGCCTGCCAAGAGGACAAGTTCTGGTCTCCACAGGTACCAGAGCAGAGACTGGGACTAGAGACGCTCTTGCCTGGGTCCCAGAGAGGTGGCAGAGCTCCAGCTGTCCCGTCTGTGGGTGTTGCTGCACCTAAGAGGATCTTACAAGGTTCCAGAGAATTGGGAGACAGTAGCTGAACTTCCAGCCCCGACTTGATTCCTACTCTCAAGATTGGGGCCCGTGTGAGGGAATCTGCAGGAGGGAAGTTGAGGAAAAGGTTGAGAGTGAAAAATTACACAGACTGTGTCTGGGTGGGGGCAAGCCAGGCATCTTGATTACCAGCTTAGAGCATCAGGAGCTTCAGAAGGGAAGGCGGGGCCGGGGTGGGGTGGGGGGAAGCCAGGATGATGTTAATCAAGGTGAAGCAATTTCTGGAACACACTGACACTCCATCCATGCAAATTCCCTTACCTTGATGATGCAGAGGGCAGTCCATCTTGGCACTGAAGGCTGAACCCCCTCTTTCATGGCCTGGGGAGATCCCATGCCTGTGGCCGAGTATGCTCAGATCCTTGGGGTGGGGATGAGGACATTGAGGGTGTAGAGCACCGGGTCAGGGGAACTTCGGTGGAGGGTTTGGGCACTGGGAGCCAGGAAGTGGGGGAAGGGGCAGAGCTGACTTCGGGGCGGGTCTCCTGGATGAGGACAGAGGGTGCATTGTCCAAGTGGGAGGCTGCTGCAGCTGGGCGGGAGCATCCAGCTCGCCTCTTCAAACTTTTGGCGAAAAGGGAGGGTGAGGGAGGGCTGAGTCCTCCCTTCACTGGGGGTCCTGGGGGCTTCAGTGGTTGCTAAGAAACAAGATTTTATATGAGAAATCATGTTTCCCAGGGACAGATGTGTAAGCGCTCCCATTTCCTGAGCGGCCGGATGCTGGGAGCTGGCCTGGCACTTGAGGTGGGGCCCTCAGCACCAACGGGACCACAGCCTAGTGCTTGTTTAGAAGCTGGAGGGCGCAAGGGGCCCAAGCGCAAATCGACCCCTCTGAAGTAGGATCTCAACCCACACCCGTGGCTGACCAGTCCTGGGGTCCTTCCCTGCGGAGGGGCCTCGCGTGCTGACCGGGCACGGAGTGGGGCTGGACGAAGCACCCTCGCTCCCCTGGAATGGAGAGCGCCCTCTTGGGATGTGTAGTGAGGTCCTAATTCCCCGTCCGCTCTGCACGCAACCAACACAGCCTCTTTCAAGGTAGCTTCCCCTTGTCTCCTGTCGTGACGTGACCCACGTGAGGGGGGTGGCTGGAAGCAGAGGCTTGAATGTCACGAGTGACCTCTGCAGATTTCCAGAAGGGCGAGGTGGGGTGGGGGGGTGCATTCCTTACCTAAACCCACCTGAAATGCTCTTGAGTCATGACACCCACCAAACCCTTTACCCTGGAGATCGCCCCAGCGGACGCTTCAAGGTGCTGCAGCGCCAGGAAAGCCACTTGTGCAACTTGTCTTCCCTTCAGTGTCCCCTCCCCAGGGCTGTGTGGGAGGGGCCCGGGCTTTCTAGCCTCCACCGGCTTGTGACCTTAGGGGTTCTTGGCCAGCCTGGGTCCGAACCCCCTTCCTGCCTTGCCACAATGAACGGTCTGTCCCCGTTTGGAAAATTCCCACCAAATCTAAGCCCTGCCGAAGGGAAAGTGGCCCGTAGTAGCCCAGACCGCCCTGTTAGACGAACTCCGTTCACCTGGTGCGACACGGATGGCAAAGTGGCACCGTGCCAGGCTGCCAAGGGTGAGGGTCAGAGCCACTGCCCAACGCACATGAAGATTTCTCCCTAGAGCTGCCTCTTCCTCGAAGGCCCGGGCAGCGGGCTGCAGGAAGGCGAGGGAACACTGGAGGGGAGCAGGGGCAAATCCCAAGCTCTTAGTTGCCCACAAGCAGTCAGCTTCCCGGGCAACCCCACCCCCTCTGGTGCTTGCACCAAGTCTTCGGT